CGTAAATCGATGCGTGTCTGATTCAATTTGAGTTTCCAAATAGTGAAAGTATGGTAAGCGTGGTCTCTGGGCTCTGTTTACTAGCAACGCAAACAATCCCTCGCGGAGATCCTGATTACCCATGATGCACTGTTTTATCGAAAGCGCGTATTCTGCATTTTGTATTGACCCAAAGTCATTGGAAAGTGTTGAAGCAGCTTACTTTGTCTGAATGATATTACAGACCTTTATCATATAGAAAAAACTTTGATTAAAATGTAAAATAACATTGTGAGCTACTCAGTCACTATTGAACTCATAGCCAGTCGTCTCTTCGGAAGGAAATTTTTGCCTGATTTTGTTGTAAGCACAGGCTGGGAGAGGGATTCTTTTGTTTCCTGTTGTGTGTAGTTGCGCTGCGGTGCCGCTTATTGAATAAGAAAGAGCTGCGGTATCGTTTGTTGACTTACAAAAGGACTTCTCACCTTTTATTGTTGTATTATCTTCAAAGACCCTTTTGTATACTTTTGTTTCGTGTTTTTCAGGTGTTTGGAACGTTTGTTTGTTTTGTCTTGATGTTTTTAAGTTCGATGATACGATAAAATTGAGTTCACTGCTATCCGCTGTTCTACTGTGGTCTCGACTAAAACACCAGAACGGATCACAGACCACTTATACAATTCCTCAAAGATACAACATTTCCTATTCTGCCATGCACCAGCCTTGTGAATTCTCTATAGGAGATCTTGAAGAAATCTTCATGTCCAGAAATCAACATTTTTAAAAATATTGCATGAACACAAACTGATTTCTTGTGCTTTATGTGCACATATCCACAATAAATAAGTACTGAACTGTTAAACATTCAGAAAGCTTTGTGAACCTAAATTCTGTATTCCTGTGATTTGTAAATGTAGGTATCCTGACAAGAAAATTGGCTTTTCTAAATTTTGCTCTTTGAGACCAAAATGGTGTATTCTGGTTGGAAGCTCTGGAACTCATTCTCCATTCACCAGAATGTTAAATTGATGCTTAATGCAGTTGATTTAAATAATTCTTATCATGACTTGATTGAGCAAATTGTTTGCGACAAAAATAGCAAAGACTGCATGGTCCATGGCTGTCCTGACTGTCCAGGGGGCGACAAGTTAAAAGAATTCCTGAAAGAAAAGCTTTAAACCGATGATGATGGTGACAGTGTTGAAGAGAATATAACGTTTAGTAAATGGATAACAGTAGACAGGTCAGAACTTATAATCCACAACCTCCCAACAGAAGATTTCATATTTTTTAAGCAAATAAGATGGATGCATTAACTACACACTCATATATTGCACAGGCCCAGGCCCAACACCTTAAGAAATGTAGAGAAGAACTTCAACAAGATGACTGTATAATATTGTTAGACTTTGCGGAAAATCAAAAGTTTTTCAGCCAAGATGAAATTCAGAGCTATTATTGACATCAACAAACATGTAGTTGTCATTTATTATAAAAGGAACAATAGTCTTTGTGACAAATCACTCTGCATCGTATCAGATGATTTAGACCATGACACCAGTTTCGTTTACAAAGTTATTTCTATAACAATATCATTTTTAAAAGAAAAACTAAATCCAGAAATGAAGTTGGTGCACTACTTTAGTGATGGATGTAGTGGTCAATACAAAAATTATAAATACTTTCTGAAACGTTTGCCTACACCATCATGACTTCTCAGTTTCATGTAGGTGGTCGCTTTTTGCTTCCAGCCATGGAAAATTACCATGTGATGAAATTGGAGGAATAATTAAGCGACTGGTTACAAGGGCAAGTCTACAGAGACCACAGGAAGGCCAAATTCTAACAGCAAGACAAGTACATTAATTCTGTGTAAAAGAAATTAAAGGAGTTGCCAGCATCTTTGTTTCTAAAGAGGAGATTGAGCTACTTAGATTTAAGCTTGATAAAATGTACCAGAAAGCTTTAACCTTGCCTGGAACTGGAAGCTTCCATCATTTCGTCCCACTCACTGAAACAGTTATTGGTGCTAAGCGTGTTTCAAGTGAGAATTACTATACAATAAAGTATGATATTGTTGGAGGGTCATAAATCGACAAAGTGGGTGAAAATTTGATGGTTAAATGCTTAGACTTCATTATTTGTCGATATGATCAGCATTTATGGCTTAGCTTCACAATTTCTGTTTAAGAAATTTATGATGATGTGGATTTGAAGTTTCTGCACCCAGCCTTTCCCTCTATGTCATTTACATGCCACATATGGAAGATATATGCTTTGTACCAAAGCCTCATATCCTATGCACTGTCAACGCTTCTATAACAATAACTGGAAGAAGCTACAAATTAAATAGATCCAATGTGGTACCCCAGTCATCAATGTACCCCAGTCTAAAAATAGCACATGGCAATCTTTTCTTTATTGCCTGCGGAAAACTTCACCAGTACCAGTCGTTATATAAATTTGAGTTTGAGGCATTCCCAGGCTTGCAATTTGGCACATAACAAGGGAATAGCATTAGAAATGGCTACAAATTTCAATCTTTCAGGAACCTTTAGAATATCCATGAAAGCAATTTTAATTGCATAAACATTAATCTGCATCAGCTTTTTTTGCTTTGGCCAAATTAATGCCAATTTCAAGTTCTGCAGAGTCAGCCAGATCTTGTATGTTTTTTTTCACTGTTTAATTCTCCATTGAAGATTGCAAAATTTGCATGAAGTCAGTTCTTTGTCCAACCAGCTTCTTGGTTTCATTCGGACAAAAACTTTTCGGCAGTTAGAAGAATTGTCTCCCTGTTTGAATTTATTCTCCAGAAACCACCTCGATTCATCAATGCAAAAAATATTACGTAGGGTTTGCTGTCCTCAGAGTTCAACAATCTCCCTGCACAGAGAATAGACATGCATTTTGTGGCACATCCTCAGCCCAGTTTTTAGAAATTTTAAACTTCTTATGAACCTTATGTAAAGCAAAACCGCCTATTTAGCATAAACCATGCCTTTCCTTTCCATTTAGTGTCAGTTCACCATCATAACTTCCATCTGCTTGCATTTCTGATTTCCCTCTTTGTTTGTAGCACAAAATCAATATGTCAATTACCTTGCATAATAGCAAAATAACCAAGAATGCCTCTGACACGGAGAAGTATATACGAACCAGGGTGGTAGGTCGATTGGAAGTTGACCACAACAACCTTGGTTATTTTCTGTGCTCTTCAAATAGGGAGGTTATTTATCTTCCTACAGACCTTGAACCTGTTTACGGGTTTGTTAAGCATAAGAAGGATCTTCCTTGCAATCCAGACAGTGATGATATTTCTTATTCTAATCTGCTGGATAAGTATATGTAACATTTTTGTTTTTTCCATTCTATCAACATCTCAAACGGCCAAAAAAGAACCCTAAATTTATACTGATATGCAACTATGAAGATATTTTACCAGATATTTCAGAAGCAACTATGAAGAATTTAAAGTTTTTTCCATTCTATCAATATAAATGTCTAAATAGGAAATTTGCGTTTTTTTCTTTCATTTTGAAATTTCATAATTTAAAATATGATATGAAACAAAGAAACAGCGGAACATATTTAAAAACAACAAAACTACTAAAAACAACAGAACATATTTGAACACAATAAAACTACTTATCATTATTGACTGTCATATTTGGGAACGTTCCGGAATAGAAATTATTACAAAAGGAGGGAAATTCCTTTCTATAAAAAGGAATTTCCCTCCTCTGCTGCTCTTTTCTTTTCTTCTTATTATTAACGATTTTGACAATAATAGTCATCCCTGGTCTGAAAGAGAATTAGAGAAATAAAAATTGAATATATTGGCCTGTACATTATATTAAGATATTAAAAGATTTCTTAACAATCAGAAATGAAATATACCGTCTTCAAATAATTTCAATGATTTAAAGAATGATATATTGGCAGCATATAAATTGAAAAATGAACAAGTTTTTACTGTGCAACAGTAGGATTTACAATTGTGATAAGATAAATACCTAAGTTCCTTGAGCTTCTTTTTCTCTTTATTTAAGAACAGAATTACCTTAATGTCTTTTATATTAAAATCTTTTGCCACAGTCCTTCTCATTTTTGAATTTTTTTTTTCGAATGGTATTTCCTAAGAGAATAAGAATGTGACTATTAAGTTTTACAATACAACAGTAAAAATTTTTTTATCTAATAAATACTGTAAAATTTGAAACGAAATTCCCAATGCAAAGATTGACCATCAACTACATGAAATTTATTGTAAGCAAAGTCTGTATATAAGTCATTAATTTTTAATGTAAGTTACAAATATTTGCAAGGAAAATACTTGTTTATATTTAGTATTATGAAGTAAGCAAATAATAACCTTTTTTCATTTTTAAAACATACTGTGACGGATTCTGGCCTTTCTTCCATTGTTTTTTCCTCGTCAGACATTATCGCTTCTTTCTGAAATTTCGCTACAATGTATAACAAGGAGTCAAATTTTTCAACTATTTATACAACTTTGCACACAAAGAACTCAAATTTTCTAAAACATTTGGTGTAATTGTAAATTCGCCTGGAAAATTTTTTTATAAAGTAACACAAAAAGGGTGGCAGAAGCCATTCAAAAGTATGAAAAAAATGCAAAATTACATCAAAAAAACACAATAAAAATCTTGTAGATTTAGTTACAACATACCTTTCCAAAGTAGGAATATAATGAATGCTCTATAATAGCTCAGAGAACAAATTTATTAGAATAAAATAAACATACCTTGTATTTCGTGCAAAAAAAAAATTTCAGGACTCAAATGTTGTTACATAGAAATGGCATGAGCAAAGAGTTAAAATGCGCGAAAAATAATTCCAATTTCGAACGCGACGTATCTTAATGGAATCAACAAAATACTTCCAATGAAACAAAATAACAATAGTAAATCAATCAATCCATAAATGTCCAGTATGTTAAAAGTCCTCATTAAAGTCCAATTATTATGAAAATATAGTTCAATCCATTCAAGGGCCATGTCGCACACGAACAGCACATGAATTCTTCTATTTTTTAAAGTAGGTACATTTTCTTGGTAAATAACGGAGGAAGTCCTATCCTTGAAAACATTTCAGCAAATAAATCCGCCTGTAGACATCAGCGTCTGGATTGATCCTGAAATGAAAAGAAGCGAATCATAATTATATCATCAATCTATCAAATGCATCAAAACGTGTAATGAGCGAAAAAATATATATTGGAAGTAATCGAAAATACATCAAGTATATAGGCTTCTGTACACGCAATCAGTGAGGGTATCCATCATGAAAATAATAGTACGTAAATAGAGCCATAAAAGATATTACAAACTAAAATAAATAAGAAACTTACCGAACATCAGTAACTGGATGCCGAAGCAATCCAACCACGCCACGAGGTCTCAACAACCCCCGATAGTTCTACCGATCCATCTGCGAATGATATAAAATCCTATCAGCAAACAGATCAACGGCTCACATTCAATTGATCAACAATTCAATTAAGTATTTCCAGTATTACATGATAACCAATTCATGTAAATTTCTAAAGATCGCACAAGCATCTTCCTGATCGCGGCATGCCTCAGAACTAAATGAACCACAATGAACCATAGCATTGAAATTGTTATGCAAATTAGTTCTATAAACTGACTCGCCATAAACGTTCGATCATTTGCATACAATCGATATGAACAAAAGAAATTTCCATTACATTGTTTAAAAATGAAGTTTTAAAAAAATGAACAAAGAACGGTTCGATTTGATTGTTCCTTTCTCAACCAATAAGATAAATGAGAAACAGTGACAGGCCGACGACTGGGCAGACAGCAACATGATAATTTGTGAAGGTTTGAACATTTCAAAGGGTAAAAAATTAAACCTTTATCGCTACACCATAACCAATACCACCATTCGAATCGCATCAATGAGATCTTTCATCTGATTCAATAAATTTTGATGTAAAACATTTAATTTTTAATTTCTCTTAATAAAATTAAAACCATGACGTCACAATGACATCACAGCCACACCCAATCCTGAAAATATCCATACCAGCAGATTACATTTGTAAAACCCTTGAAAATGAGCCCTTGGCCCCTAATTTACTCTGTATAGTTGCCGAGTTATGGAAATAAAGCTTGAAAAGTCACAACACAAAACGGGGATCGGGCCTAGTCAGAACAATTACACCAATACAGAAATGTCCCAGAACTTCAACCGGTCATAGCGACGTCATTACTAGGTGATACCCCTTACCCAATACCACCAATCGATTTGTCTCGACGAGATCTTTCGTTTGCTGCAATAATATCGGAGGTACCTCATGTATGCCGAAAGTTTTGGGCCTAAACGTTTTTCAAATACATACCATTACAAATGTGCCAATTCTAGGCCAACTGTGACAGGTACTGTAAAATACTGACTGCACCATCAAAGAAGCCTAATTTACCGATCTTTTACACATATTACCCACACTAACACTTGTTTCACAGAAGAGAAATGAATTTTTGAAAATGGGCCTGAATTCGTCATTGTGACGTAGCTCTGACGTCACAGCCACGCCCAAATACTGAACCCAAAACTGACCGTCTAGAGACGTTCTTTCTTATGAGCTATTGCAAGCCAAGGTACCATCTATACAAGCAGAGATATGGGCAAAAACGTCCAAAAATGGCACATTTTAAACTTTGTGCCAAAATGGCACCTTATTTTCAACTTTTTCTGGAACAACCATACCATCAATCGATGCGCCTTGACGAGTACTTTTGATTTATATGGGTATGTTGGGGGGTACCACGTCTGTGAAAAAAGTTATTTGCAAAAAACTGAGATTTTGAGGCTCTCAGAACTTTTGGCACATTTTTGCACAAAGAAGAGGTGACAATCCAATTCCGACCAGAGACCCTTGTTGCCAAGTGGATGGAAAGTTGTTTGGCACATTTAGATTTTCTTAATGGTACAAGTGGAAAAACGTCAGGGAGAAACTTATTTCAATTGAATGCAATATTTGCACAAGTCTGGGAATAAAACTTTTCTGCATTACCATTTTTCATTAAATTGTTAAAATGGTCCGCAAATGCACTGAGTAGTTCTTAATTCGGAATCTGGTCAACTGCCTCAAGCTCTTTTCTATGACCTTCTGAGTAGCATCCATTGCTAAAAAACTTCAACTTTTCCTCACACATAATATTGTTTAACAGGGAATATCCAGAGGGCTTCTTTCAACAGTATTTTTGTGGCTTTTTGTGTGCCTCTCTAATCCACGCCTACTTTTGCAGACTTTTTTGCAAATATCACAGGTGTAATTCCCAGTTTTTATCTGATGAAAAGTAAAAATTGTAAGCAAATGTATACTGATAAATCGATAAGATAATTGCTAAACGGACCAAGGGTAGGAACAAATATGATAAACCGGTATCAATTTTATTGACTGTAATGGTGACTGTCAACAATGAAGTTGTGGATGTTATTAAAGATTTCTCACGTCATAATAACATAATCCATCATATTAAATTGTGCTTTGTGGTTGTGTTTATTATTAAAGCTCTCACTCATCGTTATAAAATAAAACATTGTATTAAATCGATTTGTTCAAATATTATGCTTTCTTATCAATTACAATCGAATCAAGGTAGGCTGGAATAAGAATCTACTCTACGTAGGCCAAGAGGGAATTATGAACTCGAAGTTTCTTTAGCAAAATTTATATTTCTTAAAGAATGGATGCAAAAATAGCATACTTTATAAATTGCTTCTTCAAGAGTATCTTCTAATCTTCCGTTCTCTTCAACTGCATCCACTATTGCATCAAAATCGTCTCATTATTATAACCAAAGCACATCATTCAACGTAGTCATTATCGCAATGTTGTGCACTATCACGCGACCTTTGCAAACTCTTATACTCAACATCAAAAACAGAACAATAGAAATCCTTTTTTAAGTTCGCTGGCATTTCTAACCAGGGATTCAACTATGATTCAATTATGGATTTATTACGATTTTGTATCCTTATAATCCAGGGGTCGATCTAGCTACAAATCTGACAGTGGCATGGCCACTGCAAAATGAAAGACAGGCCGTGGCAATTTTATGCTCGTCTTTGGTCACACCCATAAATATAGGTTGAGTTTTAACTGAAGCAAATTTAAGAGAAAAATATATATGCCCTAATTATCAAGAGGTGCTTTTCATGGCGGTCCTCTAATGACTCGAAAAGAAACTAAAAGATAAATAATATCAAAACCCCTTTAACCAGACATTTCATCCTATCAGCCATGGAACATGTTTTAATCACCTAACCTATTTTAATAGCAGGCCTAGTTCTTTTTTTATACATTGGTGTGTCCTGTCATACAAAGGTAATAAATGTTAACCAAACAAACATGACACCTCAACAACAACGCAGAAATCTGAATGGAGAATAAATTTCAAGAATCCTAAAACTGGTTAGAAGGCAGTTGAAGATATGGAAGTGACTAAAATATACAACAATGAGAAACAGAACAAAACAAGCAACGTCAGCTAATCAATAGGATATTGTTTTCAAAAGATCAATGTCACATAAGCACAAGTTAGTTGTCCAATAACAATATCTTTCCATTACCCTTTCATGCAAAAGGTTCAATGACATCAATGACGTCAAGTCTTACATCGCGATGAACATAGGGTTTCTAACACCCAAGCCTGTTTCTGACATAGGGTTTCTAAGGTATGTTCTCAATCTCTTCAGTGTCGAGATAGAACGTTCACAAGAACAAGCAATAACTGGGATAGTTCCAAAATTTCTAAATGCCACAATTACATTGGGAAAAGTGAATGGGTTGATGAAATTTAACAACTCTTGTACGGTTTTTGGTGGTGTACAAGCAAGATGATTACAATTCTCTTCCAACATCTCCTTGGAAAGATACTGAGGCTCAGGAAGATTCTCTTTGTATTTATCAAGAAACCGGTGGAACCCTGTTTGCCAATCTGAATGCGATACATGACATATCATAGAGTGTATCCATAACATCGAGATTTGAACGGGTGAAGCATACATTGGGATGGCTGATAAGATGGTCCAGAAAGGGTACAGAGATGCCTCTACGATAATATTCTGCAAGAGAATTGGAAGGAATATTTTCTCGATGGACTTGTCGTCTTCATTTGTCTGCTATAGGCTCAAACTTTTTGCCTGATGTGATGTCACAAGAACTTATAATGCTAACTGCCTCCTACTGCTTGGCATCAACATTACACCGCATTTTCTGAAGCATAACATAAAGAAACGAGATTTTTTCCCTAACAGCACCAGCATCATAAGAGGCAGTCTAGAGCTGCTTTGTAAGATGCCTTGTGATTTCAAGCCAGCGGCAGACAATAACAAGCGCCATAACGAACTCGAAAGTCACTATACAGTGAAATATGTTCACAGCCTTGTCAGTTGAATCAGCATTCCAAGTTTTCTCAACAGTCTCCTCAATTATTTCAAGAGTGGCAACAATAGCTAGATATAACTCTATCATTATATCTAAGCCATCTATAGGTGGTAGCCACCTTGTTCAACACACATTAATCAAGTGGGTATGATGCGAATTTGGAAACAATTCTCTGATGCTACCCGAACCTTATCCATCATGTTTTTGACTTACTGAATCTGACATGAGGAACAACAAAGATTTAGTATGTGTGAGCTACAGTGGCCATAGACAGCATTGTTGAAGAGTGACTGAATACGAGCAGCAGCACCGGAAATTCTGTCTGCCATATTACCGGCACCATCGTAACCTTGGCCCCGGCAGTGATCCATGAAAAGACCAAAGCTTACGACCGCATGCAACAAATTATTTGAAATCGCTTCCCCAGAGAGGCCTTGCTGACATGGAATAAATCCAATAAACTCCTCTCGAATGGATCAATTTTGGTTGACAAACAAAAAAACAACAGACATACTGCTCGACATGTGAGCAATTTGTGGCCTCATCAGCTAAGATAGAAAAAAATTTAGCCTCTTTTACGTCGCTCAGAATGACCTCTGATATCATTTCCCTGCAGATGGTAATTATCTCATTCTGTGTGGTTTTTGAGCGATATGTTGCATTTTTAGGGGCACTTTCTAAATTCGCAAGCATCTTTTCACCACACCTGGCCCAATACTTCAGAACTTCTTGAAAGTTGCCGGGATTTACACTTTCCTCCTCATAATATGATGAATCATCTCTATGGGCCCTTAGAGCCATATTTTGCCTCCCAGACAACATCACAAAATCAACGAATGGCCCAAGGCATTGCTTCTTTCACTCAATTTGTTCCCGCTTGGCCTTATTCAGAAGGAGATCTGCAGATGTAGCCTTTTTTGCTGCATAACCAAATTAAACTGAGCAGATCTCGAAGTAGCTGTAGTATGAACTTCTGACTTCTCTACATGCTCACCTAACTTCTGCAATACAGAGGACCAAGTGTTTAGGGACGTCCAAAATTAGTTCTTAAACTTTGAAGAGTTGTGTGTACTTTCGCCACCAAAGAGAAAACACATTAAGCAAAATGCTCCATCTAGGACTTCAGAATAGACAAGCCAGGGTAATTCAGAAAACCAACAATATTGTAATCTTCTATTTCTTTTGTCAAGAGGAAAATTATGACCCGCCTCCAAACATTGCAAAGCAGGTCAAACTTTGTATCTTCAGTGAGAGCAGAGGCCTTTTCAAGAAAGTTTCCAATGTCATTTGGAAAACGAGATTTGGTTTTGCATTCTTTAGTCAGAGAGGAGGACTTTAAAACTGGAGTAGTATGTTTGGAAGAAGGGCTATGTATAGGTGGCAAAGCATCTCTTGGTGCAAATGTGCTTGTGAACAATTTTTTTGCGGAACAGAGTTTGAAAATGGCTTTGAAAAAAACAAACATTTTACAACATACTTAAAGCTTTTTCGTCTGACACTCCTCAGAGCATAAAACTATTTCGATCCACAACTGGGTATATATTTTTCCATTGTGTTTTTTCGGAACCTATTCTGACGTTTTATGCTCTGAGGAGTGTCAGACGAAAAAGCTTTAAGTATGTTGTAAAATGTTTGCTTTTTTCAAAGCCATTTTCAAATGTGCTTGTGACAGCGGATGGCAAATCAAAGATGGGATGCAATCTTTCTTTGTTGAAAGCAAAAAATCTAGAGTTGTCTGCTTTTGCTTCTTTGCTTGTTAAATTTAGCAATAACCGCTGATCGTTTGTCTCCATCATTCATTGTGTAGTGAACTCACAAAACCCGCAATACAAACAAACTCGCAAAACAATAACAGAGAACACCTTGTGTTTGGAAATTACGCAGTAATTCTTTAGCCCTATTGTTTTCATCTGCCTCTTTTCTCTTCCTTTTCTATTAAATTCAATAACTCTCTATTATCAACTTTTTAGTTTGTACAAAGCTATTTTTTAATTGAGTTGGTTATGAAGTTTTCACAGAGACACACATGGAGAGTTTCTCTTCGGTTTTTCACTTTACCTTAGAGAAACAAGTCAGCTTAGCTTATTAAGATTGATTTAAATTAGTAAATACAACTAAGCAACAACATTTATTAAAATTGCATACAGAGCATTATCAGACTGACACACTGCAAAAGCATTGTTCAAAATCATAACAGCCCCAGCTTGAAAACGGACTTCAATCAGTGGATGGTGTGAATAAAACGTTGATTGAGAATATAGCTCAAGGCTTGTGAAGATTGCGAAGGTCTGGCTTGGCAAACCCTTGTTGGTAGGCCTTTTCCTGGTCCAGGACAGTGAACCATTGGCAACCACCAAGGTTATATAATGTCTCTTGAATTTGTGACAGTGGCTGGCGGTCTTTGATAGTTTTCCTGTTCAAACCACGATAGTCCACACACAGGGGGAGGGCTCCATATTTCTTCCTCACACATATTAATGGTGAAGACCAAGTTGACTTGCAATCTCTGATTAACTTTTTGTTGAATAGATCCTCGATATATGCTTTACCCTCGCAATATAACGGCCTAGGAACTGCTATATAATTCTATTATACTGGTTTTGTGTCATTCAAGTTTATTTCCTTTTCTAGGCCCTCTGCAATGCCTATCTCTGAGTTTTCTTTGGCAAATGATTCAGCCTCTTCTTTAAGCATGTTTAATACAGCGGTCTTCTCGTCTTTAGATAATGAGCCAAGTCTTACATTTGGGACAAAGTTCTTCCCCCCTTTTCATGATGACAAACTTGTTCATCAGTTGTCTCCAAATTAATATTGCCCTGTAAGCCATTAGAGTTGATTTATATTGGCATGTCAGACTTTATTTGCTGCCCTCGTCCTAATGCAGTTCTGTTTTTAAGGTGAATATACTGGTCGGTAGAATTTTCTATACTTTCTGAGCTGTCCCTCTCTTCCAAGAAACAAGTGTCACAGTAGCCTTAAGCCCATCACGGGATTTTGGTTGATCTCTGGTTCAAACATTGTAAGCATCAAATTTGCCACAAAACCTTCATTTCGACGGCATAGGGCTGAAACAGAGCTCTTTCTCAGTATGATAATGTCTTTCTTGTTGGTCTTGACTGTGCATACAAAATTCTTTTCTGTTCATTCTTTTATGATATTGGTGAATGCTTGACCTTTTTCATCTTTCAAATGACTTGAGAATTTTATAGAGCTTGCCAATCTATAGCTAATACTGTTGTGTATCCACTACCTCCATAGGAGACAGAAAAATGCCAACCAGTAGACCAGGGGGAAGGTTATTAAATCAAAGTATTAATAGGGGAGCAGATGGATGTTTTTCTTGAAAAAGATTATGAATTAGAGAAATGGCAATTCAATATTACAGCTTCCGAAAGAAGGATACTGATCACAAAATGGTTAGGAGAAGCTTAGGAGAAACTTGGCAAAAATACCTTGGCTTTAAAAGGAAACTATTTTCAAAAACTGGTCTACTAATGAGAGCTGAAAAAACTGATGAAGAATTTATTGGAGCAGAGGGATTCGTTGACTATCATTTTTATAACAGGAGTGAAACTCAGTATACTGTAAATACACTGCTGCACATCCTAAACTGTAATTTAAGATTATCAGAAATGTAAGTTCACCAAATATTTTGGCAACGAATCTGCAGTTGGTATGTAAAATAGTTGTTTGCTGTTTAGTCAATGTGAAGTTGTTTAAACAAAGAATGGCTTGGAGGTATTGTGCGGTGCCAGAAAAATGCGTTGATTGCTAATCATTTCCATTTTTAAGAGTTTGTCCTGCTCTGCAGCAGGATGACAGAACCTTTGAGGGCTTAAGCTTGGTTTCAACTCTGAGTTAACGTGAAATAATTCTGAGTAAAATTGAAAATTAACTCATGGTCTAAATTCAAGTTAACTTGAGATAGTGTGAAATAATGTGAGATAACGCGACCTAGCTCAAAATTAACCCACGTACTGATTTGGTTTCCACTTGAGATAGAATTAAGTATGGAAATTTCAGAAATCACATTTTATTTGAGTCTTGCAGCTACAGCAGGCGTCTTACAAGAACAAATTATTTTACTTCTGCTTTTGAGAATATTTAGAAGGAAAATATTTTTTTTGCTAGAAGTGCCATTCCCGATCTGCGCCAAGGTTTTTGGTACGGAAAGTCTACCAAAAAAGATATGCATTTGGTGAATACGACCACTTGCAACAGGATCTTAGAAATGAGAAAATGTTTCTCTTATTTCACAAATTTTGAGTAAAGAAAACTGTTCTCAACATCTAAAGTAATACTCAGTGCAAGTGTGTTGCGTGAGAACTTCAGTGCAAATTATAGCATATTCCTCTACCATTCATTTTCTTGATAAAATGTTATCAAGCTAACTCATGAGCTTGAAATTACAAAAATTTGTTTCCAAGCTCATGAGATAACGTGAGTTAACACAAGTTAATTTTCATGAGATAATTTTTAATGACTGTTGCCACTATGAAATAATTTTTAAACCATGTCAGATCACAAAATTATCTCAAATTAACTCATGTTAACTCATAGTGGAAAACAAGCTTTAGTGAATTTGCTTAAGCGGAAACTTGGGTGGCCGCATTGGAAAATCAGCATTTGTTTAAAAACAAGCCTAAGTGTGCCAGAAGTTTTTCCTGAAATTTTGTTTGGTGCATCCATGGCCTAAGAAAAGCTGTGTGTAGGTTGTATTTTGTAAGTTCTGTACAAGAAATGCTAAGTGGTAATCTGAGATTTTCGCATAAAAACAAAATATAATACAACAACAATACTTTTTTATGCCAAGGATATTAACCAGAAACTTTACTTAAATATTCGGGCATCAACACTCAGCTTTAAATAAAATTTGCTGTAGAGGAATTTGGCATTTTACACGTGCCTTTTGTTTGAACTCTAAACGTTTCAATTGAGGGACGAGTCTCTTCATAACTAGGCTGTCTTCATCTCTTTTTGATGGTGTTGACTGTGATGTCTCTCTTAATTCTTCCAGAATTGCATGATCAACATCATCACTTGTTTTCTTCTTTCTCTTTCCAAAAACCACAAGGTTTTTGATAAGTGAAGTGATTGTTGACACTTTCACACACTCACTCTTGGAATGATCACTCGCTTCATGTGGGGGCAAAGGGTTTGTGCCTACAAAATCGCATGTGATTTTGCAAATTGCAAAAAAAGTGGAAATGGGCTTTTACAGGTCGCCATATGTGTTAACACATGACCTAGCTACAATATGAAAGTGTCTCTGTATTAAATCTAAAATGGCTTTTGAGGAAAAGCTTCAAGACTACATTCTTGGACTAACAGCTTAAAAGCATTCTTCTGCGAATTCATTGTTCACCAACGGCACAATGCTTCCCGACCTGTTTTTGCTGGAACAGGGAAAAACTAATGATATATCAAACTTGCTGAATTCTTTGTGGAGTTAGGTAACTCAATACTTGATCGATTTATCAAACGAGTTTACCAATAAAGCTATGAAAGCGTTCAAGTCCCTTGAAGCCTACAATTACCATGTCTGCAAACACATGCAAAATTGCTTCCACCACGCAATGTAGAAGAAGAATGAATTCTCCTACATGAAAAGTCAATGATATTTTACCTGTTCAAGTCAAACATTTCATAGTTTCCTTTCTTGAAAAAAGCCCATACTACTGAGAATGTAACTATTTTATAATCTGTGCATTTTCAGGGTGGTATTTAATCATTTTCTGTAATAAAAATGAACATTGCAACAATTCTAGAAATCTGATCACCAAAAAGTTTATGAAAACTTGCAAGAAGTAACATAAAAACAGCCATTATCAAATGCAATGGATGTTGCATTGAACTGGAATAGAAACAGCTTATGCGTGTTTTCAATTTTCAAAAATTAAAACAAACCCATCACTTGTAAACTGAATCTTGCAGTACCTTTACATCTAGAATTTGGCAGAAAACCTCCATTTCGATGGCATGGGGCTGAGCTCTTTCTCAGTATGATAATGTATTTCTTGTTGGTCTTGACTGTGCATACAAAATTCTTTTCTGTTCATTCTTTTATGATATTGGTGAATGCTTGACCTTTTTCATCTTTCAAATGACTTGAGAATTTCATAGAGCTTGCCAATCTATAGCTAATATTGTTGTGTATCCACTACTTCCACAGGAGACAGAAAAATGCCAACCAGGGGAAGGTTATTAAATCAAAGTATTAATGGGGAGCCGATGGATGTTTTTCTTGAAGAAGATTATAACTTAGAGAAATAGCAATTAAATATTACAGCTTCCGAAAGAAGGATACTGATCACAAAATGGTTAGGAGAAGCTTGGGAGAAATTTGGCAATGAATACCCTGGCTTTAGAAGGAAACTATTTTCAAAAACTGGTCTACTAATGAGAGCTGAAAAAACTGGTGAATAATTTATTGGGGCATAGGGATTCGTTGACTATCATTTTTATAACAGGAGTGAAACTTAGTATACTGTAAATACACTGCTGCACATCATAAAATGTGATTTAAGATTATCGGAAATGTAAGTTCACCAAATATTTTGGCAACGAATCTGCAGTTTGTGTGTAAAATAGTTGTTTGCTGTTTAGTCAATGTGAAGTTGTTTAAACAAAGAATGATATGGCTTAGGGTATTGTAACTTATTTTACTTCTGCTTTTGAGAATATTTAGAAGGAAATTATTTTATTTGCTAGAACTGCCGATTGAAAAGTCTACCAAGGTTTTCGGTACGGAAAGTCTACCAAAAAAGATATGCATTTGGTGAATACGACCACTTGCAACAGGATCTTAGAAATGAGAAAATGTTTCTCTTATTTCACAATTAAATATTTTTGAGTAAGGAAAACTGTTCTCAACATCTAAAGTAATACTCAGTGCAAGTGCATTGCGTGAGAACCTCAGTGCAAGTTATAGCATATTCCTCTACCGCGCATCAGCTTCTTTTGATTAAATGTTATCAAGTTAACTCATGAGCTTGAAATTACAAAAATTTGTTTCCAAGCTCATGAGATAACGTGAGTTAACACAAGTTAATTTTCATGAGATAATTTTTAATGACTGTTGCCACTATGAGATAATTTTTAAACCATGTCAGATCACAAAATTATCTCAAATTAACTCATGTTAACTCATAGTGGAAACCAAGCTTCAGTAAATTTTCTTCAGTGGCAACTTGGGTGGCCGCATTGGAAAATCAGCATTTGTTTACAAACAAGCTTAATCCGCTATCTCTATGAACAATAGAGATTAAGTGTGCCAGAAGTTTTTCCTGAAATTTTGTTTGGTGCATGCAGGGCCTAAAAACTGTCTGTAGGTTGTATTTTTGTAAGTTCCGTACTAGAAATGCTAAGTGGTAATCTGAGATTTTCGCATAAAAACAAAATATAATACAACAACAATACTTTTTTATGCCAAGGATATTAACCAGAAACTTTACTTAAATATTCGGGCATCAACACTCAGCTTTAAATAAAATTTGCTGTAGAGGAATTTGGCATTTGGCATTTTACACGTGCCTTTTGTTTGAACTCTAAACGTTTTAATTGAGGGACGAGTCTCTTCATAACTAGGCTGTCTTCATCTCTTTTTGATGGTGTTGACTGTGATGTCTCTCTTAATTCTTCCAGAATTGCATGATCAACATCATCACTTGTTTTCTTCTTTCTCTTTCCAAAAACCACAAGGTTTTTGATAAGTGAAGTGATTGTTGACACTTTCACACACTCACTCTTGGAATGATCACTCACTTCATGTGGGGGCAGAGGGTTTGTGCCTACAAAATCGCATGTGATTTTGCAAATTGCAAAAAAAGTGGAAATGGGCTTTTACAGGTCGCCATATGTGTTAACACATGACCTAGCTACAATATGAAAGTGTCTCTGTATACTGGTAAAATCTAAAATGGCTTTTGAGGAAAAGCTTCAAGACTACATTCTTGGACTAACAGCTTAAAAGCATTCTTCTGCGAATTCATTGTTCACCAACGGCACAATGCTTCCTGACCTGTTTTGCTGGAACAGGGAAAAACTAATGATATATCAAACTTGCTGAATTCTTTGTGGAGTTAGGTAACTCAATACTTGATCGATTCATCCAACGAGTTTACCAATAAAGCTATGAAAGCGTTCAAGTCCCTTGAAGCCTACAATTACCATGTCTGCAAACACATGCAGAACTGCTTCCACCACGCAATTAGAAGAAGAATGAATTCTCCTACATGAAAAGTCAATGATATTTTACCTGTTCAAGTCAAACATTTCATAGCTTCCTTTCTTGAAAAAAGCCCATACTACTGAGAATGTAACTATTTACTGCATTTTCAGGGTGGTATTAAATCATTTTCTGTAATAAAAATGAACATTGCAACAATTCTTGAAATCTGATCACCAAAAAGTTTATGAAAACTTGCAAGAAGTAACATAAAAACAGCCATTATCAAATGCAATGGATGTTGCATTGAACTGGAATAGAAACAGCTTATGCGTGTTTTCAATTTTCAAAAATTAAAACAAACCCATCACTTGTAAACTGAATCTTGCAGTACCTTTACATCTAGAATTTGGCAGAAAACCTCCATTTCGATGGCATGGGGCTGAGCTCTTTCTCAGTATGATAATGTATTTCTTGTTGGTCTTGACTGTGCATACAAAATTCTTTTCTGTTCATTCTTTTATGATATTGGTGAATGCTTGACCTTTTTCATCTTTCAAATGACTTGAGAATTTCATAGAGCTTGCCAATCTATAGCTAATATTGTTGTGTATCCACTACTTCCACAGGAGACAGAAAAATGCCAACCAGGGGAAGGTTATTAAATCAAAGTATTAATGGGGAGCCGATGGATGTTTTTCTTGAAGAAGATTATAACCTAGAGAAATAGCAATTAAATATTACAGCTTCCGAAAGAAGGATACTGATCACAAAATGGTTAGGAGAAGCTTGGGAGAAATTTGGCAATGAATACCCTGGCTTTAGAAGGAAACTATTTTCAAAAACTGGTCTACTAATGAGAGCTGAAAAAACTGGTGAATAATTTATTGGGGCATAGGGATTCGTTGACTATCATTTTTATAACAGGAGTGAAACTTAGTATACTGTAAATACACTGCTGCACATCATAAAATGTGATTTAAGATTATCGGAAATGTAAGTTCACCAAATATTTTGGCAACGAATCTGCAGTTGGTGTGTAAAATAGTTGTTTGCTGTTTAGTCAATGTGAAGTTGTTTAAACAAAGAATGATATGGCTTAGGGTATTGTAACTTATTTTACTTCTGCTTTTGAGAATATTTAGAAGGAAATTATTTTATTTGCTAGAACTGCCGATTGAAAAGTCTACCAAGGTTTTCGGTACGGAAAGTCTACCAAAAAAGATATGCATTTGGTGAATACGACCACTTGCAACAGGATCTTAGAAATGAGAAAATGTTTCTCTTATTTCACAATTAAATGTTTTTGAGTAAGGAAAACTGTTCTCAACATCTAAAGTAATACTCAGTGCAAGTGCATTGCGTGAGAACCTCAGTGCAAGTTATAGCATATTCCTCTACCGCGCATCAGCTTCTTTTGATTAAATGTTATCAAGTTAACTCATGAGCTTGAAATTACAAAAATTTGTTTCCAAGCTCATGAGATAACGTGAGTTAACACAAGTTAATTTTCATGAGATAATTTTTAATGACTGTTGCCACTATGAGATAATTTTTAAACCATGTCAGATCACAAAATTATCTCAAATTAACTCATGTTAACTCATAGTGGAAACCAAGCTTCAGTAAATTTTCTTCAGTGGCAACTTGGGTGGCCGCATTGGAAAATCAGCATTTGTTTACAAACAAGCTTAATCCGCTATCTCTATGAACAATAGAGATTAAGTGTGCCAGAAGTTTTTCCTGAAATTTTGTTTGGTGCATGCAGGGCCTAAAAACTGTCTGTAGGTTGTATTTTTGTAAGTTCCGTACTAGAAATGCTAAGTGGTAATCTGAGATTTTCGCATAAAAACAAAATATAATACAACAACAATACTTTTTTATGCCAAGGATATTAACCAGAAACTTTACTTAAATATTCGGGCATCAACACTCAGCTTTAAATAAAATTTGCTGTAGAGGAATTTGGCATTTGGCATTTTACACGTGCCTTTTGTTTGAACTCTAAACGTTTTAATTGAGGGACGAGTCTCTTCATAACTAGGCTGTCTTCATCTCTTTTTGATGGTGTTGACTGTGATGTCTCTCTTAATTCTTCCAGAATTGCATGATCAACATCATCACTTGTTTTCTTCTTTCTCTTTCCAAAAACCACAAGGTTTTTGATAAGTGAAGTGATTGTTGACACTTTCACACACTCACTCTTGGAATGATCACTCACTTCATGTGGGGGCAGAGGGTTTGTGCCTACAAAATCGCATGTGATTTTGCAAATTGCAAAAAAAGTGGAAATGGGCTTTTACAGGTCGCCATATGTGTTAACACATGACCTAGCTACAATATGAAAGTGTCTCTGTATACTGGTAAAATCTAAAATAGCTTTTGAGGAAAAGCTTCAAGACTACATTCTTGGACTAACAGCTTAAAAGCATTCTTCTGCGAATTCATTGTTCACCAACGGCACAATGCTTCCTGACCTGTTTTTGCTGGAACAGGGAAAAACTAATGATATATCAAACTTGCTGAATTCTTTGTGGAGTTAGGTAACTCAATACTTGATCGATTCATCCAACGAGTTTACCAATAAAGCTATGAAAGCGTTCAAGTCCCTTGAAGCCTACAATTACCATGTCTGCAAACACATGCAGAACTGCTTCCACCACGCAATTAGAAGAAGAATGAATTCTCCTGCATGAAAAGTCAATGATATTTTACCTGTTCAAGTCAAACATTTCATAGCTTCCTTTCTTGAAAAAAGCCCATACTACTGAGAATGTAACTATTTACTGCATTTTCAGGGTGGTATTAAATCATTTTCTGTAATAAAAATGACCATTGCAACAATTCTAGAAATCTGATCACCAAAAAGTTTATGAAAACTTGCAAGAAGTAACATAAAAACAGCCATTATCAAATGCAATGGATGGTGCATTAAACTGGAATAGTAACAGCTTATGCGTGTTTTCAAGTTTCAAAAATTAAAACAAACCCATCATTTGTAAACTGAATCTTGCAGTACCTTTACATCTAGATTAAATGACAACTTTTAAATCTATTGGTACTTTATTTTCATCACTTTTTACTGCCGTGTCTAATTTTTCTAAAATCTTGCATCCTTCATGTTTATTTGATGTTTATTTCTATGTTGTTATGGATCTCTTCACCGTCTTCAGTAGTAATGCTTCTCTGCTCAGTCCTTGCAGTGTGCAGTCCGTTGTCATCACTATTGACACAGCTGCATTCATGACTGACTGAGATTTTCTTCATCCATTTTAATTACATCTGGTAACTTTGTTGCTTCATCACAAGTACTCTCTTTTCTAATGATGCACAGCAGTCGATCATATATAACATTTACATCCTTTTCAATAAAATGTTGATCAGCAAGCACTGATCTAGCTTCATCTATTTGAATGCTGCCCTCCATTATTTGTCTTTCAATTAATTGTCTGACTTGGAAATCTTTAAAATCTTTGGTTTTTTCTGTAACTGAAGGTGTGTTCCACATTGCTCTTTAAAGATATGGCAATGTCTTGGCTGATTTGTCTTTCTTCTTCAGCACAAAATAAGTGCATTTCTGCGGTCTTCACAGTATGATTTATATGGGAATCTGGGTTAGACTTTGTTGCTGCGTCTGTCTTGTGAATCTGTGAATGACAACATTTTTGCATCAAGAACGCATTCATATGCTGTCCAGCAATGCTCCTCAAAATGGCTCAAATCTGGTCAATCACTGAAGAGGAAATACTTTCAAATTTACCATGCACTCTTTGATTTCTGGTTATGAGGTATCTGAGAACCTTAGTTTAAGCTTTCATTTTAGATTGCTAACATTTGCTTTACATAAAACGTTGTGATAGCGAAAGGTCGGATATGAAATTTTCGCCTCGGTGATAGGCAGTTGGTTAATGTCTTTGTAATAAATTAATACTTAATAAATGGGGGCCCTTTTGTGTATTTTCTCCATAAATATAGAATCCTCAATAATACTCGACATAGCAAGATGTTTTTCTGGAGATGTAGGATCAAAAACAAAAAAAAGGGTGCAAAAAGAGGGGAAAAGTAGTGAGTAGGCTAGTTAATGAAAGGAAGTAAAAAGAGGACTTTCCTCAATTTGTAAGAGATAAGAAGACATCTAATATTGTGGAAATTACATTAGATCAAACTGACATCATCAAAAAATGTCAGTAAGCACTATCGCCACAGAGAAATCAACTTTATAAGTGGTAAACCATTTTCCTTTCTAACAAGATTATGCATGAAAAATTTAGAGATGGAGAGAAGCCTTTGCTTTGCGCTTGTACAACATCTCAAAGTAGACTACAAGTGAGCTACCTGGGGGAAGTCCAGGACAATATGGCTACTACGTGGTAATGATTAATGTCCCTCACAGATCAGCAGTTCTAATTGAAAATATTGAAAAGATAGAAATATAAAAGATATACATGGAAAAGTTACACAAATAACAAGTTGCCATTATACGAGTAATAGGCCAAACTGCATTGATTTTTAAGTCTGTAGCCTTATGCTTGCACAAAACGAAGTCACTTACACTTGAATTTCATAAAAGCATCCTTCAAGCCAATCCATGAATTCAAATACGAGGGTCACTCCAAAATTATTGAGATATTCAAAAACCGCAAGAGGCATCGTGTTCAAATTTTCACAGTTTCTCAAAATACTCTCCACTGGCTTCCACACAAAGTCTTATACGATAAAACCACATATCAAAACAATGGGCCCATTTTTCCGCAGCCAAGTCAGAAACAGCCTCGTTGAAGGCACTAACTGCATCATCAGCGCTATCAAACTTGGTTCCGCGAATTTTCTCTTTCACCGCTGGAAAGAGGAAGAAGTCACAAGGTGCCAAATCAGGTGAATAAGGCGGGTGGGTCATCAACTGAACTGAATTTTCGGACAGAAAGTCGATGGTCAAAGCAGCTGTGTGAGCGGAAGCGTTGTCAAAGTAGACCTCTTAAGCCAGTCCTTGGACGTTTATTTCGCCAAACTTCTAGAACCTGTGGTATGCAGTGGTTAACATACCAATCCGTGTTCACTGTACGGCGGTCTTCAACTTGAATGTTTGCGACATGACCCGTCTTAGAGAAAAATGATGCAACCATCCTTTTGCCGACGCTTCTGGATCGCCAAAATTTTTGCGGCGGATTTTCACCTGGAAAGATCCAAATTGGGGATTGGCGCTTTGTCTCCGGGTCCAATTGGTAAACCCAACTTTCATCGCCTGTCACAATGTCATAAACCCGTTTCGACTTCCCTTCATTTATTTTTTGCAGCTTGAGCTGGCACCAATTGACTCGCTGCTCTTTTTGCTCATCTGACAAGCAATGTGGCACCCAGCGGTCAGCCACTTTCCGAACTTGCAAGTTTTCATGCAAAATTGTGTGCAATGCTGCTGATCCAATCTTTAAGCTATCCTGCATCATAGAATAAGTCATCCGACCATCTTGCCTTAGCATCTTCTCCACAGCAGCAACTGTTTCTGGCACAACAGCAGTTGGGGGCTTCCCTGGGTGGGTCTCATTTTTAAGGCTCTCCCTCCCTCTCTTAAATTCGGCAAACCATCGAAAAACTGTTGCCCTTGAAGGTGCATTATCTCCAAAAGTCTGTAGAAGCTGAGCTAGGCATTCTTCTTGTTTCAGCCCCCTTTTAAAATCAAAATAAATCATTGCGCGAAAATCACATCCTTCAAGCTCCATTTTTAACAAATAAGAACATCTAAGGTGCTGAAATTCAAAACCCTTCTTTATTTTTTTTCCGCGCTTGAAATTAACAAAAATTACAAAACATGGGTGAAATAGATGGTACAAGCCACCAAAAAAATTTCAAACTGATATCTCAAGCGGTTACTGAATATCTCAATAATTTTGGAGTGACCCTCGTATGTATTCCATCCTTGGCAATTTTGGTTTTCATTGCCGAAGTCTTTATTTCATTATAAAGTATAAATTTGGTTTGTAGCAGCATAACTCCATAACTGTATCCAACAGCCTACCTGTAAATAAAAAAGGATGTGGTAAGATAAAATACAAAAGCTACGCAACTCAGTTTCAGTGCAGAATTGCTGGGTTTAGTAAAGAAATGAATATCTCTGAAAACTTAACACTGAGCATCAGCAACTTTCAAATTTTTTTTGAAACTTCTTGATTTTTGCTTTTATGCTGATCCATGCAAAGATCTATATTGATGGACGATCTAATGGAACAAATGTCCCTGAAATGATTATGTAAATGGAAAATATCAATATCTATACAATTTACTGCTCTGGTAAATCAAATACCTTTTTGAATCTTTTTAACCTTTGTGGTCATTAAAAAAAAGTAGCAAACACAAGGGGGGGGGGTCGGGTTAGTTGACTGTGCAAAATATTTTCTTGACAGTCATGAACTTTTTCATGAAACAAATGGAAAATATTACAGTAAGCAATATGAAGTCGATTTTATTGATGGTTGAATTATCCTCCACTGCTTATAATATTTTTTACTGCTGGACCAATTTCCATCAAGAAGGAAATTTATATATATTGTTCCTGCCATTTTTCGGAATAGTGGAATTTATTGCATTTCTTGTGACTGCTGGTGCATCAATCTATGCATAGGAAAACATTTGGTCCACATTCTAAGTACCTTGAATCTGCAAGTCTTGCATTAATTTGGCATGTGGAGCTTTCATTACGTTTGTGGATCATTTCACAAAAACAAGTAAGCGCACCTCCTTTCTTCCCCTAAATTGGCGGGGCTCTCGCTAATTTTTTGTAGCTTACCAAAATCAAAATAGCTCTATAGCTGTAGCAAGAATATGAATGCCTCAAAGGTGGGAAACAATGGAGAAAATGAATAATGCCCAAAATGTTTCTGTTTTTTTCTTACTTTTTAGTTGGTTGCAATTTAAACAAATTTCTAAATTAATCACAATGTTTTCAACAATACTTGAAACTAATGTCTTCAAATATAACTGTGGAGGTCTCAAAGCTTTGAGACTGTCCAACAACGATTTAATAATTAAATTGTTAAAGGCATCAAATTTTTAGAATTTTGAACCAACCAGACTTGCCAGTAGTAGGTTTTTAGTATTTGTTGGTTTTTTTTGTCAAATGTTCAGCATGAAAAGTGTATTTGCGGACTTAGTGAGAATTCTAGATGGGAAAAGGGCAAACTATCACTGATGGTCTAACTCAAATGTTCCTGCTATTCTATTTACCTTTGTGCCTCCTACGCTTCCAAAACGCTGCCAAAAATTTTTGAGGACAAGTACAGAATACACATTTTAATGCATCATCAAATTGGATGGATTGCTTGAAAGATTTTCAAGATTTCTTCGGAACAGAAAAACATAGAATTTAACAGCCTTAGCAGAGAAGATGCCTCTCAATGAAGCTTTTGTAAATAGAACCATTGAATAATATGAGGTACTGATAACAAGTTCACTTTGACATACCTTCAATTCTTCGGACACAACCTTGATAGGCTGACATAATTCAACCTGCTTTTTCAGAGTGGGATGCCTTTGCTGCATCAGCTGAAGCAAAAGGTCTCGATATTTATTAAAAGGATATGCACAGGCTTTATGAAAATGGAATAGGTGCGAGTAACAGACCATTTAGATTTAATCCAAAGAGAAAGATCAGTCAGTCTCACTAACAAAATTTTGTTTTGGAACTATTACTTTTTAAAGCATTATCAGTGAGCTCGTAGAAAAACATGCTGATGAGCAGTTTTTTTCTCACTGCAAGGCTTTTTTGGTTCAGTGCATTCTACAGATACAGTGTATTTGTGAATTACTCGAAATTGAACTTCCCGGTTTTCTTGAAAAACCCAGAAAAAGCATTTGTCAAGATGTTCCATTGAAGAAAGTTGATAGGGAGGGGGGAGCTCATGTCGTTAGTGCAAGCCGCAGCGGAAACATATTGCTAGATCATGGAATTGCTCACCTCTCTGATTGGGCAGTGGAACAAAGCAACCATTACGAGGCATGATGGAAAATGCGGACAAGCGGCGTGCGTTGAGCTGCCACCATTCTATGACGTTCACGATATAAATACACTTCAGAATTCTGTGACAATACCATACACAAATTGCTTGAAAGTAAGGACGAGTCTACTGTCTTTGGATTTAGTTTGAAATCGGGCGTTTGCTAATTGCCTTAAGTTTTACTGCCAATGGACTATTTAGGTCCAGAATTAGGTGAGTATTTAAGTTTCATTTACAAATAAAAACAACTGATGGGTAGAGATAAATGTCATTCTTTCTTTTTTTCAATTTTACATATTAAAACAACACTAAGTTAAAATGCAATAAATAATGCTGCTTCCAATGAAATAACTCTTCCTTTGTTGCCTGAATACTTGTTACATTCCATCAAGTCTTATTTCAATAAAAGGTCTGCAAAACTGCGACTTTCAAATGACTTTCTTGTTGGAGTTGGAGACAATTCCCAGAACCAGTATATAGAATGCAGCCTGATTCCTTGGCCTCCAAAACAGATTAGACAAACACAATATCAAATACATATTTCACTACAAATTATTAGTATATATATATAAGGTTACAGATTATTGACGATATATTTAGTTAATACTTAGCTCTATTGCTAAATAAAATATGATTTTATAATCCAAGAAGTAACTTATACCGAGAACACAAACGAAATATGTAAATGCAAATGTAATTAAAATGAAAAAGTTTGATTATATGTGGCCATCCAAGTCCTACAGAGTGTCATATGCACATGATTGTAAGGTTCCCCCTTCCCCCCTTAAATGATTGTTCAAAATTTCAAGTCTATACAAAATGTTGATTATTATGGTTTTGAATTCGAATTTGCTAATCATTTTAATGACTAGGTTCTTGCTGAAATTGCCGAAAAAAGGTTCTTGCTGAAATTGCAGAGAGCCCCATATGCTTGAAAACAAGTAATACTTTGCTGACAGATGCACCAGCAGCAAGAATAGCGCAACTCAACAGAACATTCCCAGCAGGATGACGACCAACAAGAAACGGCTGTGATTGCCATTTGAAAGATTTTGGCCCACATGTTGAACAGCTTTGGTAAATGGTCACCATTGTTCCATTTTTCTTCATTTGCACAGTTGGTTTCCCATCTTTACATTTGAACCAAAACATGGAGAAAAGTGCAACTAGCATGCTATAGAAAGCAACAAACTGTGGTTCTTTCTGAATGGGTACATTATCATCAACTCTAAAAGATAGCAAGAAAAATGAATAAATTACACTATCTCTTCAGAATACTTGCCAATAGCATCATTGGCTAATTATTTTGGAAAGTTGCAGCAAATAGATTTTACAACGAATTATAAATATTTATATATTGTATAATATTGCACTCCACTAGTTTGTGTGACACAGTTCAGTGCACACTATATGTTTGATTAACAAAGTTAAGCACATCCTGTTTCTTTTTTTTCAAACTGTTTTATTAATGCTTCATTATAAACATACATCTTTGAAGGAACGTATATGAATTCAGCATTTTTGTTAAATGTCCATAATAAATCAAAATCAGTGGTTAGGCACACAAATTTGCAGTACTCCTACAGCGGTTGAATGTGAACTTCCGACAGCAAAAATTTGATGAAGCAATGTTTTTCTAAACAAAAACATGATGATTAGATGATTAGATTAGACTAGTTAAATTATCATGTCTTTTAACAAATGTAGTTTTATGAGTCACGTGTCACATTATTTTTTTTATTTACACAGCATTAAAGGTAGTCTTGCCTGATATGTTTTGAACTGTCTTCATCATCATCAGTATCAGTTTCGATTCCCTCGCTGTGTGCACCCTCGTCAAAAAATTCTTCATCCCCGATTTCTTCTCTAACTTCGTCGTCGCCAAATATTTCTTCATGTCGGGTCATTGAAATGTCTTTGTATACTACTCGTCTAGCTTTGGATGGACTATCTGAGTTATAATATAAAAAATTAATTCACCAAGCTGAAGCAAAATAGTTGTTGCAGCACAATTTGAGACAGAACACTAATGAAATAAGAAATAAGACAAATTACCATTTCCTTCCCGAGTATGCAATTTTGCCAACTAGACGTAAGATTTTCTTGGTTGCTGTATTCAGCTTTCTGGCATTACGAGAGCATGAGCTGCACTTTTTGATTGTGCATTCAATCCAAAAATCACGCTCTTTTTGGTCTGACTCGTCATCGTCAATTGGAACGGTGTCGCTTATCCAGCTTTCCATATCTACTACGGCAGTCGAGGTGGATGCAACATCCGATAATTCTGTGTCCTCTGTAGTCGATGGTCGATGAGAAATGTTTGTTCCTTTTATGAGCTGTGGAGGAAATTTTGTATTGGTTTTTGACAAATACTTTTGAATCTAAGGAATCACGTTCAACTAACAATAAACTCTAAAATGGGAAAGCTATGAAATGAAAAGAATAAAGTAAAATAATCAGATATGAACATAGCTTTTGTGCATTGCTTATCAACATTCTCGCTTCTATTTTGCATCTGGGTCCATATCAATATTCGAGTTCAAGATTTTGCAGAAAATCAAGGTCCGGGGTTCACGAATACTAACAAGAAAACTAACAAGTTATTTAAAAAAGTCAAATACGACAGGAGATAATGAAGTTGTTTAACTATGTATAACACTAGTTTTAAAAGGTTTATTAAATTAACTGAAAAATCAGCATTTTGGTTGTTTTTGATGTTTTAAAATGCTGACATGGATGATGTACAGAGAGGAAAGGAGTAACCAAAGAGATACCTAATGAAGTAGTAGTTTATCCAGTAACCAGGACTTGTAGTATCTCCCTACATGTCAAAGCCATTGGAAGCGGGGGTTGGAGCCCCCAATAATTGTCAACCTGAACTATATTCTCTCTACTTTAGATTACTGAGGGGGAAACAGTCCAATAGACAGATCCCCTGAAATTAATTTCGTTTTGACGAACGACACTGCCTCTTCTAGTTGTGAAGTCTCTTGTTGCCCTTGATGTGACTGTTCAATTTCATTTTCTAAATATCGCGCCCGAGTTTTTCTTGGATAAGCATAGAAAGTTTTGATAAGAAACACTCTACGAAGGGAGCTGACAACAAAATTTCAAATCCACATTTAAAGTATATTATGTGGGTGCCCCCGGGGTTTTTGAGGCATTATCAATAACGTATGTCAGCTTTTAAACAATAGCAATTTGACAGGCAATCACTAAAAACAATTGCAAGCACATTACTCACCATGCGCTTTTCACGCTTGCTAAGTTCCTCATCTTGTTTTGGTTTGCGGACTGAAGGTACAGCGTCTCATCGAAGAAAGGTTTTGGTGTTTTTAGTGTCGAAACCAGGTATGGAGGAAAACATACGTGAAAAATCAGTTGGGAGAAAATGCTCTGAGCAAAGAAACGGTCCCGTCGAGTAAGATGCTGGCTCGAAATCTTTAGGATGCAATTTTATATACTGCACCCACAGCTTTCGTATCTTTTCGTCTTTTGGTAACTTGTGCAAAGTTATATCAGGCGTCGAACTTCTGTTGGTGCAGCTTTTTCCAGATGGTAGTCCAGCACAACAATATCTTCCTCCGAAATCTCTGCTGCTACTTTTTTGTGACATATTCAAAAGTAGAATTCGAAAACGGCAATCAGATAGTCTTGGTAAGTTCAATTTACACTTTTTTGAAAACACACATCAGAGGTATATTTGTACCTTAAAGCCGTGCATACTAATTTACTGCAACGTTTGTACCTGTTTTATAGTAAAAGTTTTCTAATTTTGTTCTAATAAATCATATTTATTTTTGGATATGACTTTCTTGCAAAAAATGTTGGCACTGCGAAGTGCGAAACTATGACTATGGCACGCAATATATATATCATGTCATTTCTATATATATATATTATATCATGTCATTTCTATTTTTATTAATTTTGTAATTACCCAAAAATTGACCTAGATCATTTTCCGGTATTTTATGACATTGCTGGAGTAATTATCATGCAAAAAACCATCGATTAGGGGGACAACAGAAGTGCCATCACATAGTGAATCCATACGGCAGCTCAGCTTTTTTTGAAGAATACACAACCACTTTACGTCACAGAGGTCACGTGATCACAGGCCCGACCGCGTTTTTCTTGTGACACAATTTAGCTCGAGTGGGTGTCAGAAAACCTCAATTTTTTAAGAAAGTAGGTCGCAAATGAAAAAACCAAGTTCACCATCGTTCCCAGCGATGTTTCTTTGATAGTTTAAGCGAATAAAAATTTTCATGGCATATGCACTTTAAGGAGAATGCATTGAAGGAAAATATGTACAGTGCAGAATTAATTGAAAGACTGTCAAGTGAAGTTCCCCTACGGCTCCAGTCATCCATAAACAATTTGTTATCACATTACAAGAACTACCAAGATAGCTTCTATACAGAATAACGATTTTTGTGCAAATGCTCGAATTTTTTCCTGATAGAAGTGTGGAAGGAACAAATTTATTTCTTTTAAAGTTGGCGCCAGCTTATCTTTTGAAGCTGGTACAAACTTTAAGCTTTTTCATTTACAATTTGATATGTGATTTATAATAGTCTTCTTGTATTCTAAGACTTATTAATGAAAATCGATAAACAAATAACAGTTACTTTTTAATTTGTTTTGTTAGAAGTGGTTCATCACTCACTTTTGACCATTTCAGCGAATGTTTGCCCCTAACATTGCCCTTTGGTGCTATTGTTTGTTGCATGTTAATAATTTGGTCATTGTAACCAAATTCGCTGGCCATCGGTTTATCACATCTTCGCCCATGGGACCTTTGGTAGCCAAAATATTCTTCCAGCACATTTTGCATAAATCTCTCTGTCAAAACATACTTGACACTGTTAAGTAAAAGAAACCTGATAAGCTCAATTGTCGAGTTAATTGTAATTTTGTATCCCTCAAATGTTTGTTTGGAGATCAACATTTTGCTTTTACCTTCCTTGGAGATCTCATCAGTTTCCTCTATTGTTTGTAACCATTTTTCAAAGTATTGCAAAAAGCAATCCTTCATCCATGGAAGGCGTAGGTCATCCACTGACTTAAATGGCTCTAAATTGCTGTTTCTCTTTCTTGTGTACTCTGTGGTGGATCTCACATTGCATATGTCAAAGAAATCTTTGACCAGAGAGCAAAGCTTTGCTGTCTCATCTGCCTCCCCATTTGGGAAGTAATGTGTCAGCGCAAGTGCATATGAACTGCATATGATACTCTCATTTTACCAAATGGAGAAATATTTATATGTTCTGGTCCAATTTTGACAAGTTTATGAAGACCCAGCTCACGATCCTTGTGATAGGATTGGGCAAAATGGCTCCAGAGCAAATGCTTGCCATTATTCAACATCAGGCGCTTTGAATTGGCAGAGAAACCAGAAGACAACAAACAATTTCTTGCTGTTTTAATCAAATGTGGAACATCAGAAAGAAAATAGATCTTTCGTTCTGATGCTGCAATGTTGATTTTAAAATAAATTGGATCTTGGCACAAAGCACTGCATTTGTTTTGTAAAAGTATAGTACAGGCTTTACTCTGCACAAAATTCTTGCAGAGAAATGGGAGGACAGTTTCATCAAGAGATGGTCTCTGCGGCACTCCATGACTAAGTGTATTGTTGCCAGTAAACCCAGCAGGTAACTATTGAAGATACAAATTTTGTAACTCCGTACTGTTGAATCTCAGGCACATAAATGTCAGACAACCTCCATCCATAGTAAAAGCATGCCACAGAAATTTCATCATAAATGTTCACATAAAACCGGGGCACCCAAAATTTGTTGTCAGCCAATGTGAAATTCACCTGACGATCTGTAACCTCATAAGACCAGGGATGAATCTTCGAGGTTTCAACTCCTTTTATAAATTTCGAAAAGGATGTGTATTTCCCCTTCAATGCTAAATCCCTGACAAGGGAACGGCGTTCTTCTTTCACCTCGCTATCGTCTAGCGACTTCCTTGGCAAATTTATGCTGGGAACTGATCCTGCGCGAAATACTTTGCAGCTGGGCTCGGATTAAAATGTGCTTCACACAAATACAATTTGTTCCCTTTAAACTGTCTGTCTAGATCGCTGTCCCTTACACGTGTTCGACAAACAATTCTTATCCATTCATTTATCGTAGTAATCTTTTTCTCTTTCCTTTTGTCTCTTTCGCTTGGTGATGGTGTTTGGCAAAAAGAAATTATAGAAATCAACGGATCTTTTCTTCTTCTACTTCAATTGGTAGTTCTGTTGTTTGTACATCCATAAAAACCACAGTTTTCACCTGGCATTTTGCATTGTTCAACAATATCGTGACTTGATTAGACCTTGTCACGTGACATAGGAAATCGCAAACAATAACGTCGCTGTTGAAAGACTAAAGCTTTCCTATACAATTCCTTTTCCATTGACTATGGTTAAAGAGATTTTGCAATAAAGCTGGAAAAATTTATCATATTGATACATCTTTTCTATTCATTCATACTGATACAACATTCCTATTTGTTATTTATGTATCTAAAGTTATTTACCTCCTGATTTCAGATGTTGTTGTCGCTGCTTCTTTTCCACTCTTGATCTGTAGATTCCAGACCGCAGGTGGGGCATCCACATCCACCTTCCTCGGCTGAGTTGACTGCATCGGGTCCATGTTTGGAAAGGATGTGTCTGCGAAGGTTAAAACTTTTTTGGGTTGAATATGATCAACGTTTGCAATGCAACATTTGACTTCTCTTTTCACCTCTTTTCTCAATGAATACCCCAAAACAATCTATGATCACTGCTGTTTTCTTTCCAAATGCATATTGAAAACATTGTGGCATAGTATTCCATAGATCTTCTCTTTCTGGCCAAGATATGAGGAAACTTAGTCTGTTATCAAGGTTGATCATCCAAGCTGAAAAGATTCTGGAAACTATGGATAGCGATGCTCCAAATCTGTACGCAAGATCCTGAAGTGGCACCTTAAGCCTTAATTTCATTAGAACCAAAACAAATTCTTGAAATAAAGACAGAAGTGATTTGTTTTTGACCCTGCGTTTAACATATTCAAAGGTTGCCTTTAGAATTTCAAAGCTTGGCATTCCAGTATAAAAGTTCACCTTTGAATCATCGCCCTTAAAATAGGACTCATCAAGGAGTTTCTCTTTTGGAGTATTAGCAGTTAGAAAATCAAATTCATTGGTGTCAGTCGCTTTGTTGGACATTCCAGGCTCCTCAATATCATTATTTATAGGGTCATCCACACCACTGCTGGGTAAATCCTTGCTTTCTTCGTCAAATCCCGAGTTGAAAATCTCTTTGGCCGTCAATCCTGGTTCTGTGAAATGCCTCATTTCCTCCTTCCTCCTATTTTCAAGTATTGCACGCTTATGTCTTCCAGCCACCCTTTCCGCTCTCTTAGCTATGAATTCGACTTGGCAACTGCTTTTACGCTTCGAGTGTCCTAGGTTTAATGTTGGTACCCAGTGAACATTATGCTTGTCCCATTCTTTAGCAGCCGCTGCCGAGACGAAATGATGCCCACAAACACGGTCATTTGCCAATTTTTTGTCTGTCAAGTCTGGCTAATTGCTGCTATCCATTTTCGTCTGCGCTCTGTACTTAATAATTCAGTTTGCTCTCATTGATGAGTAATTATCGCTTGGACCCGGAAAAATTTTAGGCCGTTTTGATCTTTGCCTTGTTCCTCGCTGCTCTTTCTCTTTCTTCCAGTTTTTTCTACGCAGCCGACAATCAGACACAAAACCATGATTAAGAATAATTATTTCACACAAAAGTTAGACAAATACCCAAATGATTCCCTAAAATATCTCGTCATTTTAGTACCCAAGGAGAGAATATTAATTGACAACGTAGTGGTTCCATGCTGCAAGGTTTTATTATGGAACACCGACATAGCAGATAACAATGGTTGCTATGTATATTGGTCACGTGATGAAAACGCTCTATTCTACTAGATGCTGGCAGCTCTGTTTAGGATGTTCTGCTTCCATTGCAAGAGTGAAAATCCAACATGCCAAATGAAGTTGGATGGAACCATGGTGACTGTTATTCAGCGATGTAACCACTGTGGAAAGCATTTCACATAGAGAAGCCAGCCATACGTTTTTGGAAAAAATCACAGCAGGAAACATCATGCTAAGTTTTGGAATACTAATGTCTGGAGTTGGCATAAATCAGGTTTTCTTGATGTTTAAACACATGGGAATGTCAGTGATTAGCACAAGATCCTTCTTTCGTCACCAAAATCGCTTTCTCTTCCCATCTGTTTTGTTACGTTGTTTTCAAAATATTACTAGTAAAGGATTGACAATCGCATCATTCATTACTGATACACATAGAGGTAAAGCAAAATGGCTACGCATCTCCAAACCTTCCACTCAGCATGACCATGATTTTTGGCATGTTTGCAAAAGTATCACCAAAAAAATTATGCAAGCAGGCAATGAAAAAGGGAATGAGGTACTACTCTCTTGGCTCAAAGGTATTCATCGTCGTCTCTATTGGTGTGCACTGTCAACAAAACAGGGCTTTGGTGATATGATTGTAACATATAGACAGATACATGAGACATATATCAAATAAACACACAGATCATCCCGATCCCCTTTACACAGAATGCAATCATGGTGAACTGGAAAGACGTCGTTGGATAAAAACAGGCAAGTGCTTTTTTGTTATGTTTCTGTGTAAAATGTAAAAACACATTTTGCAAGCCAAGAAAAAGTTTTTTCATGTGGGCTTGGCTAAAACATTACTTCAAATATATTTTGGAGGGGGCAGGATCTCAAAGGTACAGCTTGGCCAGCACCTACAAAACCCTAGCAAATAGGTGTCATACATTTGAGATAATACATTTTCAAAAGTACACAAAAAAATAGGATGCATTTTACAAACTATATGAGCTCTTATGATTTTTGTTATTTTAAATATATGCTAACATCACCTGTTCTGTTGTATGTTGAGAAGCAAGAGCCAATAGCTTTTTCTTTTAATAAAAATTATTTATACCAGGACGCAAGGCATATGATCGGTTGAATGTGATCCTTGCAAATATGACAATTGTTGAAGACATAAGAAAGTTATCATCAGATGCACAAACAAGTTTTTTGGAAAGTTTTCATTCCACCCTGAATCATTGGCATCCAAAGATGACACATTTCTCATGGATGGGTACAATTTGCAGGTAATTAAGTGTTTTTATAAATGGTATGACTAGTATGGTGCACCAATTATCTTCATTTTCCTTAAATGATGCTAATGCATGTGATGTTGTCCAGAAATTTAAAGACATTGACCTGACAGAAAAGAAAATCATTCAAATACATTGCATTCTTTTAGACACACTATTGCAATGTGCCACTTTAATGAGAACATCAATCGATCTCAAAAGGAAACAGCAAGTGGAGACAAGTGTTATAGTGTTGTTTACCCAAAATTCAAACTTGGTGAAGAAGTGGTTCCTGAAGTTGCAGTACCTCCAAGTTATGGTAATTATATTTTAAAACTTGCACAAATCCAAACTTATGTAACAAATATATTTTGAATTTATATTAAGACATGTTAACTTGTAATATTGTAATAAAGACATTACATTAAAAGTATTAGCAAACTGGACATTCTGATATGCATTTAATTATGCTACTTTTATTTTTCATCAGGATATGTTAATGACATAAAAGAGGTTATGTTTTCGTGCTCAGAAGACGAATTGCAGGAAGCATATGCAGCATTCAAAGGGAAAGAGCCTGAACTATTGAATCGCCAGTTTCCAGACTGACTCTCAATCTGGTATGAGCTTCATTTGCTGAAGCAACCTACTTGTATTATCAATCATCAAACATGAACAAAAACTTGTAAATTCTAGTCATTATCAATCTTCATCAAACAAACAAAAAAATTTAAATTCTAGTCGTTATCAATCTACATGCTCATTAATTTATATTAATTTCTGTTTTTACAGTTGGTGAGCAAGAAATTTTGCAATTGGAGACGATTAATGAAAGGGAGCTCCAGCAGTCTTTGAAGAAGAGAGCCCCACCAACATGCAAAACATGCAAAATGCCAATGAAAGGCCATCCCCGTGGTGAGTGTACATAACATGCAATGGTCAAAGAGGAGATCTCCATTAAAGGATGTTCAGTTACCAGAGAACAGTCCTGAAGAAAACACTGATAGCAACATCTATGATTTGCAAACTTTTTCACCACTGAATGACAACATCCTTTTCTACATCAGCGGCTTCATTTGTAGGAAAATTCAGTCTTCAAAATGCTGTTCAAAATGCTTTCTTCTCATACAGAATAAAGATCCTTATTCTCTTGATGACCATTTAAGTACAGCCATTGGTGCAGGATCAAACCTGACAAAAATACAAAACAGGGGAGGTCTTATTTATGCAACCTTTGGTGTCTTTGGGATTATTAGGCATGTGAAAAAATATTCCAAACTGAAATAGTTAATAAGAAAATAAAAATTACCAATGAGCAAGGCATCTGCAAGAAAATGATGACCCTTTGCATCAGAGAGGTGGCAGGTAAGATTGAGAGTCTCTTTCCAGATCAAGAGAAGAGCTGTTCTGAGTCAAATGACCCTGCAACCGAGGACAGCCATGTTATGCAAATAACAAAGGAGATAGCAAGGAGGCATTTCACGCTAAGGCTACAGGCCTATGCAAAATACTATAATAGAGTTATTCTGAGCAAGAGCAAAGCATCAATGAGACACAAACAGATAAAAACTGTTATCTTCATGAATCAATAGGAAAGCTGAGTTTATTTACCTAACTTTTCATCTCTTCCTTGAATGCGTATCAATGGACATCAAGTGGTCAACCCTTTTATAGTTAATCAGAAAATTTAAGGTACATTAGAAAACCTTTATTGACAATAATCTCATGAAAACATGTAGGCATGAAAACAAACAGCGTATCTTAACTTCCAAAAGTTTACCTTTATTAGACAGCATTTCCTCGTGCCAAGTTCAATTTAGCCTCGCCATCAAACCAATGAATAGCCAAACGATATGTATTTTGGGTTTTAGGTTGATTACAGAGGACCTTCATTTTAAGATACGCTATCCCGTGTTTGATTATCACTTTAAATTTCAAGTTCGAGTTTGTGACGTTACACTTTCTTGTATTTTTCATCTTCAGCAAGGTAAATAAGACCAACAGTAAATATTGCTGAAAAGTTTAAATATTGTAGATAATAAGTTCATTTATCAAACACTATAATGCCTGCTACTTATTTGTTTGTCAATTAAACGAACAACAAGCGAATCATAGTTATATTTTATCGCTTCTAGCCAACCAAAGCATTATAGTCACCAGGACAAAAACTTAATAAAAATCTCATCTTTCGAAAAATGTTCACTTCCAACATTCAGCAATGCGGTTTCCCTTTGTATTAGTGTATTTTTCATCCTCATAATTTATGTGAACCAAACACAGAGCGCTTCTTCTAAACTTCATTTGTTGGATTCACATACTTCATTGTAGGGACTTGGATTTACTTACCTTCAACAAGATGGCACACAAATTACCAATTGAGAGGAGCCTCCTTATCACTCTAGTGTTTTTATTATCCTATCTCTATGGTTCTCTTTGTTCCCTCTCAAGTAGCATACTTTGCAGGATGGCAGTTAATCTTGGCAGTCAATAGTTCTTGCTAAGATGAATGCTATCTTTCGGGGACCATAGTCAACGATCTTTCTTCTTGAAATGGGGTTCAACATTGCAAAACTGGATTTCTTGCTCGCGGCAACATTTCTCCATAATGGAAAAGTAAATCTCTTTCTTTGCATCTTTCTGATCAAGTCTAGGCGCAATGGAGGGGACTATTATCTGCAAATTAAAAAATGATCTCTTTCAGCCAATTTTTTACGTTAAACACAGTAAAATGTGCTAATATGTTTAAAGATTTTGGTTGTATTTTTATTAGCTCTTGATGTATACACATGTACCTGATTTGAAACCTAACTTGATACTAATTTCTCAATTTTCTCAAACTTTACATCTTCTGGTAGGCTGCGTTAATTTCCTTTGTAATTTGCTACTGTTTGGAAATAAAGTGTTCATAAAATTTCATTAATGGAGTCCTTATACTTACAGAAGAATGGGAAAACTCGAAAAATCTTCAAATGACAATGACGACCTATGTCATTTGTATCCAGAGGTGCTTTTTCTGTTTAGATTTTGCAGTGGTGAATTTTGAGTTCTACATGTAGAAATCTTCTGCCTGGCGTAGAACTTACATACCAGTTTTGGGGACAGGTTACTCTCCACACTGGATGGCATTGCAAATCTGCAAAAGTTGCAACCTAGAAGAAAGTTTAAAGTTTGAACCCATTGTAGGAACCTACTACAATCAATAGAATGTATCAAACCTTCGGCACTAAGCAATGAAAACTCTATGGCAATTTCAAAACAGTTAAAATAACAGTGGATATTGATGTTACTTACTGTCTCAGCCTTTTTCTTGGCATGAAATATAGTTTTTCTTGGCATGAAATTTAGTTTTCTTGTCGCTGACACCTATTTGCTAGGGTTTTTTTGGGTGCTGGCCAAGCTGTACCTTTGAGATCCTGCCCCCTTTCCTGGCACATCCTGCTTTCAATAAAATAAGTTTTTTCAAAATGTCGCATAAAACACAACTTTTTTGTCATCAAGTAGAACGCTACTTACAGACTCGATTTTCGAGGATCAGTAGCACCTTATCTATAGTGTAGGAAAGTCCCATATGGTTTAAATGTTAATAGCTTTTGACATTTCAAAACAAAACCTGCCCTTGTTGAATCAAAGAGCAGATACAAAAGAAACATGGTTGCCTATGAACCATTGACAAACAATTGAAAACATAGGGACAAAGAACAACTGAAAAAAACTGACCACAAGGCCCCAAATGGATAGTAAATGACAAACAAACTAGGACCAGAACTTGTCATGTAAGGTTATAGTCACAAAATATAATTAAAACAAAATATCAACAAGAAACTAGAAAAGGCAAATTTTATGTAAGTATTTCTGAATCCACCTTTATCAGGAAATGGCAATGTTGTTTAGGGAACTGTGAATTCCTCAAAACAGCATTTATGCCATAAACAGTTGTAAGCTGTGACACAAAAGTGCCTGAAAAAGTTGTCATAAAAACTGATTTAAAAGTGCCACTCTTAGCCAAATTCAAGGCCAAAAATGATCTTCTGGGATCACAAACACCTGAATGTGACCTTGCCAAAGTTTATTTAAATTTATCGAAATTATCGAGTTTATTTAGTAGCATTTAGAAAAAAACCTGCGGCAAGTCTTTGATTCAGCTTGAATTTAATTTTCAAGGGTCTCAAAGCTTCGAGACTGTCCAATGACATTTACTTTTTGATATTTTAAACACAATTTCTTTAATTTATGTTTTCAATTCTCTGTTGTATTGAGTCATAAAAGATCAAATTCTGAAACAGTACCACATTCTTTCAAATCTAGGTCATTAAAAAGGTAATTAATTGTAGATAATTATAATTGAGCTATACATCTTTTCTGTTTGCGGAAAAGCTTCTCCTGTTATATTGAAACTTGAAGAATCTCAAAACAAGCTCATCAACAGTAAAGCCAATAAAACTCTGCATGTCATACCTGATCAAATCAAGACAACACATTATTTCAGTATTGCAATGGACAGTGCTACTGGCAGGTTGAAGAAAGATCAATTGTCATGCATAATTCTCTACATTGACAAGTCATATAATGTGGTTGAAAAATTGATTTGTGTGAAGCACATCACTGACACCAGCGCCAAAGGATTTTTTTAAACCTTAACTGAAATCCAACATAAGAACGAAATCAGTCTCATTAATGAAGTTTTGAGAGGAAAGTTTTGAGTGTGAAGAAGCTGTCGGAAACCTTTGGCCCTCAATGTATATTATATTTTATTTTACTCTAGGGGTCATTCACAAAGTATGTAAGCATATAAATTGCTATACTTCAGACCCCCCCTCCCCCATGTACGCAGCTGTCATTTCTCAATTAACCCCTCCCCCTCTTTTTTGGGTACATACACTTCCAAAAGGCCCACCTATTTTATGTTACTAAAGGCCTTCCGAAAGGCCCACCTAATTAAAATGTTGAGTAAGGTAACAAGGCAGAAAGACATTCCTTGTAATAAAAACAGTTGTATAAAAGATAAATCGTATATGGTTATTCTAAGGTCCATAACAAATATCTATTGTAAAGTCTTTTGGCAATTTACAAGCAGCTGATGCTATTTTGAAGCCCTCTTTCCTGCTCATTAGTTCTCTTGAGCCGAAATGATAAATATATCCTTTCTATCAATGGAAAGATACACGTTCTGTATCCAAGAAATGTTCAGCATACACAGCAGAATTATTAGAAACCTACACCTACTCAACTTTCCTTTGGTTTGTTCTTGATTCTCCAGAAGTTGTATGTTTTTATCAGGGGAAGTGCAGTTTAAATGAAATGGATTCAGATCCAAAAAGACGTAAACCAATACAGATGAAAAAGTAGTCGGACACAATGGTCTTGTCAGTATGAGATGTGTAGCACAATCTACAGGGGCCTTGGAGTGGTGAAAAAGCTTTTGCAGTCAATTGATTCGCATGATAATGATAGAGATAGAGCTTTTGAAGCACGTTGCTTGCTCGGATTACTGAACGAGGATTTCTGCTTACTTTTGGACTCAGTGAGGGAACTTTGATGGATTGTAAGACTGTGTCAGATTTCTTACAAAATTTGGACAATTCCCTTGCTGATGCAGTGGATATTGTTGAAAATATGATTGAAGGAATTGCATCATTAAGAAAAGAAAGCTGTTATGCTGAAATGAAATTCAAAACTGAAATTCAAAACTGAAGACCTTTGTGAAGATTATGACATCCAGACAAGAGCACCTTAAAGAGCATCATGGGACCTGAGAGGTTTGAGGACGAATTAAAAGATTCTATGAAAGGTATTAGAGCCTGGCCCACAAATTCTTTCAGGACCTCCATTTCCTATCCTTTGATTGACAGGTCTTTGGCAGACTTATATCGCTGATTTAATGCTGAAAATAAAGAAATAATGAAGGGAATATCTGTGTTAACTCCAAAGTCGTCATTATTTTTACAATAGAAAGTTTGCAGCCTTTGCAAACATGTAAAAATGCAATTTAGGCGACTTGGAGCCTAAAGACTTTATTATGAAAAGGGTGCTGACATAGAAAGCAACAGAAGAGAATCATAAAGCTCTTTTGGAATTTTCATCTTGATTGAGCGATTATGTGATGTTTTTTAGAGTTGAAAAGACTATTAACTATTGCAAGCGTAATTCCAGTGTCAACTGCTTTCTGCGAAATGTTTTTTCAGTATCACATAAGCTTGTTTGTCACCTTTTTTCATGACATTCTTTTAACTCATAACATTCTTTTAGCTCATCTACTAAAATGCACCTTTACCAAATCTCAAATTATTCATAACAAACAAATAGTAGCAAACAGGGTCGTTTTTCAGCATCACAAAAGGGTTTTCAGCATCAAGATTACATACCATAGAAATAGTAGCGCTAGAATGCGCGGTCTATCACGTGACGCGTGCAAACTATGGGGATCCAAAATGGTAGCAACAAGTTGGCAAAAAAATACGCGGGAAATCACAGCGGACAGTATTGCCTCGTATCACCGTATACGCGCTTGGCTCACTTATCAATGTATTATACTGTTGTCAACATTTAAAGATAATTCAGCGTTTAAAGATAAGAAAATGGTAGTGTCGTGTGCTGCTTTTGGCTGCCAGAATCGATGGATTCCTAAAAAAGACTTGCTTCCCGATCAAACAAACATATCGTTCCACAAGTAAATAGGCCCATTTGTGTGTACTGTGTTTCTCTTTATTCTTGATAGGAATTTAAATAGAAAAAAACTTCCAAAAATTCTATTATACTATTATTAATTATTTTGATTAACTGCTCTTCATCAACGATATTTATGTTTACAAGCATTATTACTATGTTTACAAGCAGATGGTAGAGACATAATAATCATCTCACGAAATAATTCGGATTTTGAAGATAAATTTTCCAACAATTTCTAACATTCTAGCAAAATTTCCCAACAAACTGGTAAAAAGGGGGGCATATATAGTATTCTTATGTATTTTAGTAAATACATACTTAGCTATGTGGTACCATATATCCCTTTTTGTAACGAGTTTATTAGGAAATGCATAGATAGGTTAAAATTTCCATTCCTATCCTGTTTTTATACAGGATTATAATAACGGTAGAGGGGGGGGGGGTAGAATACAGGTTATTTTAAGCAATATTCATTTTAGATTAGCAGCTCATAATTTTTCTAAAATTCAAAGACAGACAAATATCTTGAGCTCAATTCTCTTTCATTTATTAGTATATAAAACGACCAAAATGTTAACTTTGCCAAATATTACAAAATTGTATTTTCAAAAGCCAAAAGCAAGTCCTTAGTTTTCAATTATGCAAATAATGTGGAAGAATCACAAAACATATATTTTGTACAAAAAATACTGTTATATATTTAACTATGAGCCCAATTCTAAACCAATCCGTTTCCACTTCAGAATCAGTCATTGTTACATAAATGGCTAATTGCAATGCGTCGTAAACATTGGCATCCTTCTTCATCGCAACGAATTTGTGAAAAGCATTTTCTTCCAAGTGACTATAGCTATCCTCCCTCCATGCCAAACTCAGAGTCTTTAGGTAAAAAGTATTTGAATAAAGATGCTGTCCCCTCTGTTTTCAATTTCCCTGCACATCTGCAAAAGCCATGTACAAAGAAAAGAGCCTCTCCTGTTAAAAGGTCTGATCCTAAGCAAGCAGAAACACCACCCACACTTGATCCAAAGCAGGTCAAACTCGATCATGCTTTTGCATCAACTATTTCACCAAGGAAAATGAAAGACAAATATAAGAAAAAGCTTAATCAAAAGAACAAAATAATAAACAAACTCAGGTCACGAAATTTTAGGAAAGCAAAAACTATTGAGGGTCTCATGACACAGCTTCATAAGTATAGATTGCTTTCTGAAGAAAATCAGAAGTCGTTGGCAGATAACTTTGGGCATATGACAACAGAGCTCTTCAGAAACGAAGCACAGAATTTTAGAAAAGGGTCTGGTTCCAGGTATTCTGAAGAAATGAAAGAGTTTGCATTTCTCTGCACTTCTATAGCCCAAGAGCCTGTAAGTTCATCAGAAAGTCACTTAATTTGCCACACCCAGCAACAATAAGGTCTTGGTCTATAAACATTGACTGTGAACCAGGTTTTTTGAAAAAAACCTTTGAATATGTAGCAGGCAAGGTTCAAGAGGGGCAGAAGGACTGTGTACTAATGCTTGATGAAATGGCTATAAGAAAACAAATGGAATGGGATAAAAAGAATTCCAAATTTGTTGGGAATGTTGACTATGGCAACTTTAAGGCAGAAACCCCAGACACTATGGCAACAAATGCTCTTGTTTTAATGGCTTCAGGGCTACAAAAGCCATGGTATGTCCCTATTGGGTACTTTTTAACGAACAACCTAAATGCAAATATATTGAAACAGCTCAAAAGTGAAGCAATTAATCTCCTTACTGAGAGAGGAGCTAAAGTTCATGCAGTCATCTTTGATGGTGCTCTTAAAAATGTAAGCATGGCTGAGAAACTTGGATGTGATATAAAACACCTTGGTACATCATTTCCACATCCATCAAACTCCAATGAAAAGATCTTTGTAATTCTTGATATCTGCCACATGCTGAAGCTTGCAAGAAATGCCTTTTCCACCATCAAGATCTTTTGTACCCCAGGTGGACAAAGAATATCTTGGGAGTATGTTCTTGCACTCTATAGAACACAAAAAAATGACATACTTAATCTTGCAAATAAACTCAAGACAGCATATTCAGTGGCAGAATCATAAAATGAAGGTCAGTGTTGCAGCGCAGACTTTAAGCCATTCTGTGGCATCTGCAATAACTTTTTTGAGAAATCTGGGGTTGCAAGAATTTAAGGACAGCAAAGCAACCAGCGACTTCATTCTTCTGATGAACAATATCTTTGATATGCTTAACTCGAAAAGTAAATTTGGAAAGCATACAAAGAAGCCTATAAGCTTAGAAAATTTCTATGATATAGAAGCCTATTTACTGAATGGAATTGAGACCCTTAAATCCCTTAAAGATACAGCAGGCCGGCCTATTGTAAATGGTCCAAGGAAGGCTTTTATTCTCGGTTTTGCTGTCTCATCAATTTCAATCTTGAAAATCAGCAGAGGCTTGTTAGAACGATCAGAAGCACCATTTGAGTATGTTCTGACTTATCGCTTCTCTCAAGACCAACTGGAGATGTACTTTTCCAAAATTCGAAGTAGACTAGGTTGGAACAATAATCCAACTGCACTCCAGTTCAAATATGCTTTGAGACAGTTACTTCTAAAAAATAAGATTGAATCTCCATCAACAGCAAACTGTATTGATTTTGAAAATTCTAAAAACATTCCAGATAATAAGATTGACTCGAACATCTCAAATATGCTACTTACAAATAATGTTTGGAGATCTGATGTCCTCCACTACATTTCAGGCTACATTGTTAAGAAAATTTTGGAATCATTAGATTGTCCAGACTGTGCAGTTTCCCTTTATCAAAGTTCTGACAGTTCAGGTGACCATGGATACCAGAGCCACCTCTCTCTTCTTTCTTGCAAACAGTATGGAAATTTGTTGGTTCCATCATGGTCAGTGTACAAGATAGTTGAGTGTACAGACAAACTTGCTAGAACAGAATTATGCAGGTGGCAATGTATTCAATGCTAAAATAACATCAGCAGTCTTGCACAAAATGAAAAACAATACCTTCAGATCTCTACAAAAGCACTCACAACACTGTCATGTCCTTGATGAACACCTTAGAGATGACCATATCACAATTTTGATTAAACAGATCATTAAGAATTACCTTGTGTTGTTTTACCACCAATTTGGAAGGGTCTATATATACGTATAATAAAAGGAAATCAGTCTTCAAGAAGGCATAAACTTACAAAGCAAATTTTGTTTTACAATGAATAATATAATATGATTTCAAGAATATTACACAATAAGAAATAATTTCAAAAAATATTATAAAACTTGTACCATGAGGTAACGCCGAGTGCCAGGCGGCGGTTAAGTAACCTGGTGGGCTTTTTATTATAGATGGAGGAAATGCCATCTTTATCTTCAATCTGTAAAAAAATGTAAATATTTAGTTCTAAGATACCATATTCAAGGATAAAATAATTCTAGCGACTGGATTTTAGATTCATATCTGCTTTTGCTTAAGGTTTGGGGGAGGGATTCTTAGTCACTTGGAGTCTCGTTCTACTGCACATCATTTCAGCTGAAAACAACAACGCTGTTCACATATATTCATTTGAATTGGAACATGTTGATTCCAAACTTGGAAATTGCCCAAACCTAGTGGCTGGGATTTGATTTCAAGGTAATTTAAGCAAATTTAAGCCTCGATTGCATCAAGTTTCAACAAGACTTTCTAGACACTGAATCACGCTATTGTTGACACTTTTGTTTACCAGTAACTTCCGCATTTCTTCTAGGCCAAAAACCTGAGGAATTTATTAAGTACTGCTCAAAAATAATATCGCATACTCATTTGTAATGGTTAAAGGTTGTCTAATTATAATGAACTTGAAATTGGATTTAGACATAATTAATTACTAAGCTGGCCTACGAAAGGAAATTTGGCAGAGAAAGGAGTCCAAACAAAATACGAAGAAAAACCATAAAACAACTTGCTGTGGCGTAAGGAAAAAGTAAATAAGTGCCTTACCTTCTTCTATTTAGGCGCTGAAAAGGTTCCATGAAATTTGTCTTCTCGTATCACCACGCAGAAGCGGTAAGTCCATAGCTTTTTGTTGGTGTACAATGTACGCCACAACAGCTTTTTTCCAACATGTTGCTACCATCTTTGCTGCCCATTGGCATTACGCAGAAAACAATAGGCGAACAATAGAGCGCGCATTCTAGCTCTACTATTTCTATGTTACATACATTGTGAAAAATTACATACAAAATAGGATGACACATGCAAAACTAAATTGTTTGATTCTTTTGGGAATGAAGAGTAGAAGGGCAAACTCATTCAATTTAGATACAGTGAGACCTCTAAAGTTTATTGCCGTTTCAGCATGGAAAGACATAGGATCAACGAAGAATTACTAATGGAGATAGAGAAGTTGAACGGTATATTTTCTCAAGAAAACGGTATATGCTTCATTGTACTTATACAAATTTGTGCATTATTATTATTATTATTAAGGGGTATTTCTATGAAGAGATTGATGCTTAAAAAGGCCTTCTCTGTCATTCAGGGCAAAAAAGGATTATGGTGTATGGCTGCTAGATCCAAGTGCACTACAACATGTAAAACAACAAACCTTCTTTGCAACCATGTTTTGTTGTGTGGTACCTAAAATAATTTAGTTTGTCAAACCTTTAGGCAACTGTTGTATGAATTTTCAAGTAATTAAAGCTTGTTACTAAAAATCAGAATTAGCAGTCGAATGTTGATTGTTCAAATTTAATTTTTAATGCATAATTCTTTTTTAGATTACAGTAATCTTTGCATTGTGTTCGTCTCAAGGGGCAAGGCTCATATCCTTATTTCCCTGCTCTATACTTGCTTTTTTTACAATTGCTAAAGCCAGTGATTTTGTTTTCGAGCTTGAGTTACCAATCAATTTGCTTGAAGGTATTAACTTCTGCCGCCCAGTTTGTGGTCTATGAATGTAGACTTTTATGGTCTATGAAGTGTAAAATTATATTGAATCCCCATATAAGTCTACTCCACCTTTTGAACTTGTTAGCTTGTGATATTCTACTTCTTTGAAATTCAGAGCAAAAAGATGTTCAAATTATTGCCCCCAGGCAAACTGTTATTCCTATATAAATTTCTTTGAACATTTTTGATTTACTTATAAACGTTAGCAAGGTTGCAGAAAAAGTGGAAAAAATGTTTTTGGGAAAACAAATTTTCTTTGTAAGGGGAGGGGGGGGGGGGGGGTGGGTTGGCTTAAGTATAAGGTAAAATTTTCTTCAAAGATTCAGCAAATTACTGCCAAATTACAAACAAGGTTGCCAAAATTTTCCAACCAATTCGGTGCTTTTTAAGGGGCCAAGCCCACTCTCCGCAGCCACACATAAATAATAAACAATTTTTTGGAAGCCAATGTTTGGCTAGGTTAGTGATATAAGGAAAATGAAACCGGCCTAAAATACCCAAACTGAAACCACAACTTCAGAGTGAAACGTTCTTGGAAATTTACGTTTTTTTCGGATTCTTCATCTGAACTTTCTTTGCTATCACTTCTGAATGATTCGATGTCTATTTCTTGCTTTCATCTCTTGTTACAACCAAAAGCGCAACATTGTGTTTCACGATTAGCCATAGTTTTCCATAACAGATTTGGATTTCCAGCAAAATTTGGGTCACAGTTGTAATGGCGCCTAAAAGAATTATGTGGCCTCAAAAGCTGTGGTTGTTGAACAATAGGTTGCTCGATCCAGTCTTTTATCTATATCAGTGGTTGTCTGTCCTTTGACCCAATCTAAATAATTTTGTTTGTACCAGTTGTGTTTTGTTTTAATAACGCTTTTGTTATTTTTTGTTATATCTCTCAGTAGCTATACATCACAGATTTTCAGGAGAAAGAATGCCTTGTGGCCGTTGCCTGTTGGCCACATTAATAGTTTTGCTTTTCTATTTGACGCACTATATAGGTGACCTCCCAGGCCTCAATAGCAATTTATTTGTTCTTTTGCTAACATACCTTTCTTATAGAGAATCAAATGATTATTGATGGAACATTCTGGAACATACCCAAAGGTATTTTGATTACATTGCGGAGTTTAATATAGGAGCAAAACTTGAAATATTCCTGGATTTGTGGTGATGAAGTTGAAATTACAAATTTCTGTTTGCCAGGTTTGAGCAAAGTTGAATTGTCAGAGTTTGTATTTCTATTATGAAACACAAAATCCAAAACAATATGAAGCCATTGTTATTCCTTTGGTTAATGGCTGGTCCTTTTAAATAAAATCCTTGACTGCTATCCAGGCGACTCCTCAGCATGAATGGAATCACATTTTTATTCATGCATCCGCTTTTACGTAGGAGTAGGCGGCGGTTGTTTATATTTATTTTATCAGCTGGCTGTTCTCAATGATATTAGTGTCAGGGGTTGCTATGTCTTTAATCCGAAATCAAAAGCATTCATATTTTAGGTCAGGTATGCCTAGGGCTAAGTGTGCCGTTTTTAGAAAATCATCCCTATTAATCCCTTCAAGTGCTACCTTTCAACATAAGGCAGTTTTTCTAGAGCAAGTCGTAAACTTCAAGTTTAAGGATTTTTAAAAAGTATGTATCAAATATAAATTGTTTGTGTGTCAGAAAATTATTGCTTATGTTTAGTTTGTGTTAGTTACCTTTAACTGATACACTTTCAGGTAAATCTTGAAAACATGATTCAAATTAATTCCTTCTATTAAAAAGCCAAAAGTACTTTAGAGTTAAGTTAAAAGATATAATGTGTGAGAAGGAAGAACCGCCAGATTCTGTGAATCTTGCAATGAGTTTAATATAAATAGGAGGATAGTATACAGAAACAAAGCAAAACGGCGTCAAGAATCCAATGTTATGAGATGAAATTTCCAAAATAAATTAAAGTAAACGAATACAGAATTTGTGGATTGGGACCGCATTCTCTCTGAGTAACACTGCGTCAAAATATGATTTAATATCTTTGTAAATTATTTGCAGTGCTCGTCGTTTGTGAAAATGATTAACTTTACTATTAATATGTTCTATCATTGAACATTGAAACAAGAGTACAGTAGTTGAACTGGGACAAGATAATACCTGCATTATTCTCTTTAGCTGTTCAGTATCAAGAAACTGAGAGATTCTCGAGAGAGCATGTAGCTTTTGCCCAGCCCTTTTGCAAATGGACCTCTATTGCTTTTTAAAGCATAATGTTTTTTCCAGAATCACAGCACAGCACAGCTTTTCTTCTGTGCTCTCTTTGATCCTTACACTTCCCGTATTTAATGAAATATCATTACCAATAAGGATAAGATCGATAAAGATAGTGATCACAAAATGTTTTTGTAAAATTGATCACATATGATTTTGAGCTTCTTTTTTTGCAGCTTATCCCCAATCCCCTACTTTTTCACAATAATAAAAGCTATGTAAGTGTAATGTTTCCAGGTTATCAGGGTGAAAAGACCCTATAGTAACTTCATATCATGAACTCCATCTTTTGTCTTACTTGGCTGATATATTGTACTGCTTCAGGCACTGCGGAGAAGGGGGCTAGGGGGACTTGAGTCTTTTAGTCAAATATGGAAATATTGAGAAATGAACCACCACACCAGTAAAGCCTGTTTTAATTAGGTCTTAATATCTCATCCCCCACTAACTTACACCCCCTTTCAAAATACTCCATGGTGCCTGTGCTTGGCAATAAGCTAATTCATATCATTAATGATGATTCCAAATTGCCAAAGGTTAAATACAAATAGGCCATTGACTATGATTATGTTCACAAAAGACTTCTTCACAGAAAACTGCATATCCAGTTGCGGAATTTGTAGATGGAGGCTCTTTGTAACATCGTGTTTCTGTATGGGGTCTTGCAGGTCTGCTACTCTCTTCTAATTTTATGTAAACATTTTCTTCACATTGTTGGGTCTAAAGCAATTTGAGCTAGGCACACTCGATCCATTGTTTATCCACTGTTGAGAAACTTCTATAGGCAAACCAGTCTTTTCATTAAAGTTTCAAAATCTCGGTACTTTGTCATGGAAGTTGAAACAAGCCTGTTGTTGAATTTGGACTCAAGAAAAATATATGTGCTTCTGTGAACTTTCATGCTGCTGTCATTTGATGTAGTTTGTCATGTTGGTGTTCTGAAATTGTGCCTAATAGCTTGTTCAGAGTGGGAATGTGTCCAAAGCTTGTTTGGTCATCCCATTGCCTGGTGCCCGATAGGTGCTCCCTTAGTGTTACTCATTATTAATCTGAGCTTGGGAATATGTTCAAAAGGTGCCCATGTTTTATCAAATGATTAGTGTGGATGTACACAATTGATTAGAATAGGTACGGGTGCTCCACTGAAATGAGACCACAAATCTACATCTTTTTACTGAGCATTCCCTTATGAGGTATATTCAAACGCTTTGTTGTAAAAACATTATCAATCTAAATGCAGATATCTTCTTCAAGGTTCGTAACTTCTAGGCTCACCATGGCAGTTTGACATTCACCACAAACACCACCAATAGTTGCCAGCTGTATTTGACACGCTTTACCCTTTATGCCTAGCTCCTTCAAAAGATCATCACAGAAAAAAGAAGCAGTAGATCCACTGTCCAACAGAGCGTACATCCTAGGCCTCAACAATTTACCTTGAGCAGTACAATTGGTAGTCCTTCACCTGCAACCACCATTGTTACTCGTTGGGCTACTACATTGATTTTGCCTTTTCAATCCCACATGTTGATCTGAGCTAACTTGTTCACTGTATCGACTTGTCTCAAATTTGTTAACTGCATTACATATTGAAGCATAATGTTTCCTTCTAATCCAACAATTCAGCACTGTGCATGCCTTTTGTCTTTTGCAACCAGCAGAAAAAATTAAACCTTGATAAACCATTGTCGCAAAGTTTCTTTAGTCTAATAAATTTGGATTTTTCCTCACCATCTTCGAACTTGAAATCATCACATGACTCCAATCTATGTTTTTATCACAGAAGTAACATTCTAAGCCATCATTGCTACCTTTTTCTCCTCCTGTTTGTACGCTGGAATTAACATTGGTCTTCATTATTCCTTCTCCGTTGATTGCTTTTTTTCTGTCTCTTGACTCTTTATTTTCACCACCAATTAAATTGCCATAGGCTGGATCACATTTTTCATTGCTCCTTG